TAGTTCTGATGGGAGTGAAGGTGTTCTTCATGCTAAGCTTTGATTCGGAGATTCATATACACATAAGACGCCATTTTTGTCGCTCCACACATACCCTTAGAATGAGACCTCCATACAGATCCAGACTGCCAGGTCCTCTAACCCCTCTTTCGGTACCGGAGCCGATGAAACAGCGTCAGCAGTACGACTGACTAGTCTTTGGATTGTCTCCAGGTAAAAAGCGACAGTTGGTTGACAGCGTCAGATGGACCCAGAGGGTCATTGAGTTCAGCTTTTATTCTGAAAGGAACCGTTGCTTGGTTGGTAAAATGCAACAGATTTTATCCAGCTTGTTCTTTCGGCTGAAGAGGAAAGTTACGGATTGGCCACTCCAACTTCTCTAGAACGCTTTGAACTGGCGTTAAAGATGACGGGGGCATAGTTTTATACTTCGGATGTTTTGGTTTATGGTCGAATGAAAAGATGACAGATTTACCAAGCACCACCAAAACCACACCTCCGTCAGATCTGGCAGATTCTGATTGGATCAGTAAAAGCAATGTGTCATGTCTTAACTCTACGTGTGATCAGTCTCTAGTGGAAACATTTAAAGTTATATTACTTATTATATTCTGTAGGATTATAATATCAAGTAATTAATATTTTCATTTCACAAATTGGTTCACATTTTATTATTGACTGACACTTTGTTTGATTAGCTTATAAAAAATGAGAGTTCTTTGATTTATTAAAAAGGAAGAGTCCTTTGTCTTCATTCTTCTCTTGGGCTGGAAAGGAAAACAGTTTAGAAGCAAATGCATGAGACCTTGAGGCAATATCTCATGCAGATTAGTTCTTGCTGAGGAGAGGGGGGAAATTAATTTTAGGTGGAAAACAGTCATTTCATTCCGTTACAAAGTCTTGATGACTGACATTTTGTGCTCCAGTGGGTGATGTGAGTCCAAATGCAGATACTGGTCTGTGTAAGTTGGTTTCCTGTAGACTTCAATGCTGAGACTTCCGTCTTGTTCAATTTCAAGGCACTCGATGAGTACAGACGCTTCTCTCTTTCGCTCCCTTTTCTTTTTTTCCCAAGGCTCTTTGTCCTGTCTGTCCACAGAGCGCTTCTCTGCATTTCTTCTGAAAAACTATTTTTACTAACCATAGATTTGAGAAAATGGTCATTCAATGCGATCGATAAGATTTTTTCAACAATGAGAACGGAGCAGGAGGCTCCCACATGTCCACAGGGGACACACCCGGTGGGGTATATTTTGGATTCCTGGAAGGAGTGGAAGACCATATGCCTCAGCCAGTTGTCCATTGAGGATATCGAAGACGTGTGAATATTCGGCCTGATGATCACTGGATTTCTCCTGATTGGAGTGGGAGGATATCTGGTTTTCTGGAAATTTGGGAAGACTGGAGCGATTGGAGGGCGACCCACACCCACGGAAAGCACCGTCTGTGTGGTAACTGATCTTGGTGTGAGATTGGACTCTGGACTGACCTTTGATGCACAAGTGAACTCCGTAGTGAGATTCTGCTTTTTCCAGCTCCGGCACCTTGCAAGGATTAAGTCTATGCTATCCAGTAAGGACCTTGAGATTGTAACATCTGCATTTGTGCTTTACAGACTTGACTACTGCAACTCTTTGTATGTTGGTCTAACCACTTCCACACTGTCAAAGTTGCAGATGGTTGAGAATGCTGCTGCAAGGTTTATGACTGGAGTGAAAAAATGGGAGAGCATCACTCCAGCATAACATGCACTGCGGTGGCTTCCGGTAAAACATTGCATTGAGGTCAAGATTCTGGTATTTACATTCAAGTCACTAGCAGGGACTGCACCGCCTTACCTGTCATCACTACTGTAGAAACACGCCCCCTCAAGATCACTGCGCTCCGCTGCCAACAACCTACTGGTTGTTCCACGAACCAAGCGTAAGAGTCACGGAGATTGAGCTTTTAGTGCATTTGCCCCAAAATTGTGGAATGGCCTTCCACTGGAATTAAGACTCACAACTACCGTATTATCTGGACTATAAGTCGCAATTTTTTTCATAGTCTGGCTGGTCCAGCGGCTTATATACCAAAGTGCCTTATATACCAAATTATGTATACCGCACTGCTGCGGGCTGGCTCCGGACCAGGAATGAGCTCCCCTGCCCCGCCATCACCTGCCGGAGACCGTTGCGCGCTGCTGAGGGCTGGCTCCGGTCAAGGTTTCAGCTCCTCTGCCCCACTGGGAGAGTTTCAAACACCGCCATCACCTGCTGCAGCCTGTGGCGGGGTGCTGCGGGCGCTCTCCCCGCCCGCTGGGAGGGTTTGAAACATCGCCATCCTCTGCTGGAGACCGTGGCACGTTGCTGCGCACTGATTGTTAATTCTGTTATTGTTACCGGTATTTGTCTTGCAATGTGAAATGCTTGGTCCCAGATGTTCTAAGAAAAAGAATAAAATTTCCCCCCAAATTGCGACATAGTCCAGTGTGACTTATATATGTTTTTTTCTTATTCATTATACATTTTATGGCTGGTGCGACTTATACTCCGGAGCGACTTATACTCCGGAAAATACGTTATACTTGAGGCTTTTAAAGCAAATTAAAAATGCACTACAGACTCCCAGCACCCTGTTAGGCCTCTGATTTGATTGTTTTAAAAGATGGTGTCTGTTTAACTGATGTGCCTGGTTTTTAAGTTTTTGTTTGCATGTAGTTTTTTATCTAAATTAAGACTTTATCGATGATTTTATTGCTTTGGTACGTAACATGAATTCATGTGTAGTACTTTTTACTCCTTATGATGTATCCGTCCGTGTAGAGACTTCTCAGACTGGGACGTTACTCGAGGTGAATCGTAAGCTGGACAATATTCTAGCTGCGACACCGGTATTAGTGCGCAAAATGGATGTCCTCTCGGAGAGAGCCACCGGACAGTATGGACAAGTTTAAAACCCAAAATTGGCTTCACTGAAGGACTGGAAATGATCAGTTTAAAGACTGAAGGCAGAGAGGAAAATTATCTCAGCCTGACCCAAACAAATACTTGTTGTCTGAATCTGAGGCCCTGGTAGCCTTGAGCGGCAAGCAACTAAAACCCCCACGAAGGAATGCAGACAGATGCTGTGAACCCAGCCCCCCCCCCCCCCCCCCCCCCCGCACCTTCGGATTGGTGGACTTCAGCTGGAGGAGTCAATGTGTTCTTCGCTTCTCCCAAGATCTCCCTCCCACCTGTGACTGTACAGTAGATGAGCGCCATAGATGGCTGCTCTCGCTGGGAAAACAAGATCCCAGCCCCCCCGCCTTCCTATTGGAGTCTCATGTTGTGTTGTCTGAAGTCTGTTGCATATCTGTCCGAGGTGTTTTTTTGCAGAGCAAAGCTGCCCTCCCGGGTGAGGGTAACTCTGAAGTGCATTTTTTTCCCTCCACCTGAACCAATCCTCATGTAACCCTCTTATCTCTATTAAGGTAGCGCGACTCAGGGTTGTGAATGACCACAGTCACCAAATCTTGTCATGTGTCTTGCCCATGTATGTCTGATCTCTGAATTGTGTGTACTGAAACTCTAATTTCCCTCTGGGATCAATAAAGTATCTTTGATTTGATTTGATTGATCCCTTATCATTTTAATGCTTGTTGTTTTTACACTTCTATGTTCAGTGCTTTGGACTGCCTTGTTTGGCAGCAGGAAGGCGCTCTATAAATAAATTAATGAAAAGTGTGGCAACTTTGTTGTGGTTATCTGTTGTATTCAGAAAACCGAACAACTTCACTTGTCTGCAAGTAAATTTGCGATGTTCTGGTCTTTGCTGAGGGAGCAGATGGCTTTTCTTTCTTGTGGATACAGATTAGAAGGTGGAGTCTTCACATTCGAAAGGGCTGCTGTAACCTTGATCCTCAGTTCTTCAGCTTCCGTTTCCCTCAGGTTGTTGTTTCTTATTGGAGATTCTGTGGCAGTGATGAAGTCTACTGTGGGGATGTGTTGTGGAGAGCTGGCGAAATTGAATCTTTTAGTTAAGACATCCTTATCTGTTTGTGTGAGTATTCAGTGTGATATGTTCTTCACCCACTGGTCCTGTACATCCATCCGGTTGGTGTCCTCTGGTGGCGATCCAATTATTTCTGATGTTTTTGGCTGTAGTTTTTGGAATTTGCGCTGTTGCCCTTCTTTGCTGTTCCTGTGCTGCGCTAGTTGAGCTCTTTCGAAGTGGGAAACTCGTAACACTGTGATAGGGAGAAGTTCTCAAAGCTTCTTTGTGAGACCGGAGATCCTGTGGGTAAGGGCTTCTATGGTGAAGTGGGTCCGTCTAATTCATTCATTTAGCAGCTGTTGTGCTTTTTAAAGAATCTCTTCCTCCCTGTGTCCTTTAATAGTACTTCTAAGTCTCAAGCTTTCTGGAAGGAGATTTTGTTGTCTACCTCTCAGGCTGAAACGGAGGTGGTTTCTGTAGTCAGGCAGCTTCCTTGATGTCCTTACAGTTCCAAGGGTGCCTCTATCCCTAAATGTAGGGCAATATGCTGGTGAGTAGCACTGCTAGAAATGGGCTATATCTAACCCATCACCCCCGTTACACACCTACAAAGCTGCTAACAGCAGAGTACCCCTGATGGGAGCTGGAATAAAACCCATGATCCTCCGATCATGAGGCAACCTGCTCTACCTCCTGAGCCTGGAAGTGGCTTAACACATTACACAATACGCTGCCATGTTCTGTCATGACAGAACGCTCATCCAAATGCTGTTTACTCACGTTTTACAAACTGTATTGATGGCTCCATATTTAAGCAACATGCCGGAGTCTCGTGGGAACCCGGTGATATCGTAAGATTTCTGGTTGAGCATGAGAACAAAATAAATAAAACAAATGAAAACAGGCTAGAATGGACCTCCCTGATTCAATGAAACGGAGAGAATATTTGTGCTGTCTATTTCCTACTCTGTCAGAAGTCTAGTCTCTTCCTATTTGACCAGAATCCTGCCGAGGAGGCCTCTCATCACTATGTCCCTCTGTTTTAGAGCGAAAAGGTAAAGAATCTGCAGCCATGAAGGCAGACCTGCTGCGGGCCAGGGATATGAAACGATACATCAACCAGCTGACTGTTGCCAAGAAGCAATGTGAGAAACGAATTCGGCTCCTCGGAGGACCAAGCTATGAAAACAGTGAGGATGGAGGAGCTGAGGATGGTGATGAGCCTCAGAGTCAGAAGGTCATTGGGATAAAACCAATATGTGAACAAAAACAAACATGATTATTTCTGCCATAAATATGACAGATTTTTTGTTTCCCTTCTTTTTTTCACTCAGATCCTCCAGTTTGATGATATTCTGTGTAATCCAGGTTACAGGGAGCATTTTAGAGTTTACATGGAGAGAGTTGATAAGCGAGCTCTGATAAGCTTCTGGGAGCTGGTGGAAACGCTGAAAACTGCCAACAAGGTTATTCCGACACACACACCTCATGGGGTTTCCTTGCTGCTGTTAGACTTCTTTCTGAGCAAACACCTTTAAAGTGGCTTAGAGGTCAGCAGTTTAAATGTCTGTAGCAAGGAAAAGCAGCCAAACTTCCTGAATGAAGTGCTGCATGTCTGAGATCAGTGGGAGGAGTAACTGTGCTTTTGTTTGACAGAATGAGGTACCCCAAATTGTTGGTGAAATCTACCAGAAGTTTTTTGTGGAGAGCAAAGAAATTCCAGTGGAAAGGTTTCTTCTGAAGGAGGTCCAGCAGAGTCTGGTGGGAAACAAAGGAACTCAGGTCTTTGTCAGGCTACAGGAGCAGGTAAATACTGCAGCTTGGTACAAGTTTTGTAGGAGTACTTCCTGTCCAGCGCTTACTTCAGGGACAGGCATTCCAAACTGTGGTGAACATGAACTTAGATTTATACTTCTATAAAGACTAAATTATGACAAATATTGATTGACATTTTATTGACAAAAGTAAGCAAGTACATTTTAATTATATAGCACTTATCACAGACTTAGAATTACATAGATCAAAACAAAATAAAACATAATTATCTCTAAACAGAAATAGATTAAAATCAGACAAAAATTAAGTAAAACTAAGAAAGACGAATACAAATTTGAGCTAAAAATAAGAAAACAAAAGATTTAGGTAAAAGCAGCTTTAAATGAAACGGTCTTCAGCTGTTTTCTAAAACTGTTCAGACTGTCAACCCTACGTAAGGATAAAGGAAGGTCATTCTTAAGTCGGGGTGCAACAATGAGAGAACGAAAATTGACAATATTGAAAGTCCTATCAGAAAACTGAAAAGATGGAGAACAGAAAACACAACCAATCAGCAGACTGAACAGAAGAGAAAACAACCAGTTAGTCTGGAGCCAGCAACTGTTTAAACAAGCTGGCGCTAACCATAGACATCATATATTGATGTTTATGTTGGCTTAACAATTTATGTCTAAGAGAAGAAAATGTCCACAGCTGGGAGGAAACGTGCTCGATGTGAACATCTGAAAGGTCTTTGCTTGGTGAGTACACATCTGTATTTTCCCCTGGTTTTAAACGCGCTACAATAAATGATAAATGACCTGCACTCAGAGTAAGGACTCCAAAGCGCTTTACACTACAGTGTGTCATTCATCCATTCACACACACATTCACACACTGATGATGATGAGCTACGATGTAGCCACAGCGGCCCTGGAGCGCACTGTCAGAGGCAAGACTGCCGAGCACAGGCGCCACCGGTCCCTCTGACCACCACCAGCAGGCAAGGTGGGTTAAGTGTCTTGCCCAAGGACACGACAGCAGAATTATCTGTCCGGAGCCGGGATCGAACCTGCAACCTTCCGATTACTGGTTGAGCATGAGAAAAATAAAACAAACAAAAACACGAGCTACATTGGACCTTCCTGATTCAATCTCCAATTACGGGACAACCCGCTTAACCTGTTGAGCTACTGCTGCCCACGATGGTAGCAGCGAGCGGAGGCGGGAGAGGAGTGGGTTGCTGGAGCCGACCTGAACACGCAGAGTGGCGAATCTGGTTGTTTAATCGTTTGTGTGCCATTGTGACAGCCAATATTATCAGTGTTTAGTATTTCTGTAAGGAAAATACAATCAGGCAGCCCACCTTGGTAAATAAGTGCTCTAATAAATACACCTGAAAACAATTCTTACCTTTAGTTCACCTCATCGCATTATTGGAATAGAATAGACTTGATTGATCCCACAGTGGGAAAATCCACTTGTTACAGCAGCACCAACAGATATAATTTGAAGATATATAATAGCAAAGGTGCATGTGCATACACACACGGTCTAGTATTATAACCTTCAACCGCTAAAAACCATGAATAAAAAACAAACTTGTAACTGTAATTAGGGCTGTCGCGGTAACCGCAAAAATGAAATATCGCGATATGAAGAAGCCCACCGCGCTGCATCATGGGCCACCGCGATTACTGAACTTGGTTCAACTCAATGATGCATGTTGAGAAGGACGCCTGCACTGGTATCAAAACGAAACGTTACTTCGCTCCTTTGGGAGCCCTTTGGTTTTCAGTACGTCAGCTGCTGCGCAGCCAGAGTCCTTGGCTGAGACAGAGCTGCCACCAGCGGCAAAAAAAATAAACGCTCGGAGACCTGCTGAAGTCCCGGACAAGCACTGCTTCTGCAACCGTCCCGAAGAGAGTTTGAGCCGAGCTGGAGCTCACTCGCTACCTGCAGGAGGAATGCATCCACCCTAAAGAAACCCCCCTGACATGGTGGAGCAACAACCGGGAGAGATTCCCTTTGCTCGCCAGTCGCAGCAAGTACGTGCGCGTTAGTGCAACGAGCACGCCATCCGAGAGGGTTTTCAGTGTTGCTGGAAATGTTGCCACCCCTCTCAGATCCTCTCTCAAACCGTATATGGTTAACATGCTGGTTTTCCTTGTGGGTAACACGGACGTGACCGAGCTATAAATCACCGTCATTCGTGTGTGTGAAAGTGAAATGATAGTGCGCCCGCCCCCCGGCGCGCACACGCCCGGTACATGTAATTTTTTATGCTTGATTTTAAACAACTAAACAAAATGGGGACTTGTTTATTATTTGTTAGATGCTGCAGCCAAATTTGCATTTAAAAGTTTAACCTTCTCCTGAATTTTGTTGTTTTTAAGTTCAGTCGGACTCCGACTGTCAGAGAAACAAACGTTACTGCGATCTGTGTTGTTACTGCCCTTTGATCTGCATTCAGTAAAGTGTTATAAAGAAGGCACGGCAATGTTTAACCTTTTTTAAATGTGTAAACATTATGTTTAGATAGTACTGCAATAAAAAAGGGCTGCAATAATATCGCACACCGCAATATTAAGCCACCCTGAATCACCGCAGGGGGAATTCCTCAACTGCGACAGCCCTAACTGTAATTAAACTACAGCGTCTCATGTGGCTTTGTTCTGTTGTTTTGGTGCTTTGCAAGTAGAAATCCTGCATATCTCCCAACATTGCACAGTGTTGATGCAGCGACAGTAAATCTTCTGTTCTCAAATTATTTTCCAGGTGGCTGAGACAATGAGAGAGCGTTTCTACCCCTCCTTCCTGGTCTCTGACCTTTATGATAGGCTGATCAGAAGAGACGACACTCAGAGCCAATCACAGTGTAGCCCAGAGGAAAATGAGGAAGGGGTCAGCTATACACACATACTTAAAAAAAACTTGCATCTTATTTCTGATGCTGTTTCATGCATTTATCATCTCATCAGTGTCCCATGTGTTCAGTGTCATGGTGTAGATGCTGGGGAGGAAGTGTGTGACGAGGGCAGCAAAGGAATCAATGAGCAAGCCAGCTATGCCGCCACAAAACTCCACCAACTCTATGACAAACTGGAATACAAGAGACAGGCCCTGGGTTCCATCCAGAACGCTCCCAAACCGGACAAAAAGGTAACAAACTGGAGTTTTTACATGTCTGTTTTTGACTCCATACTGTTCCTGCTGGTAGAACGTCTCTTGTGTGTGTTTGTAGATTGTGAGCAAGTTAAAGGAAGAAATAGGAACCATGGAAAAAGAACACAATGAGCTTCAGCAGCACATAACCAGGACTGACCGGTGGTGTGAAAATCTGGGCCACTGGAGGGCTAATATTACCACTGCTGAGGTAAACACATTTCAGTTTATCATAAAACTGCAAACACTGAGCTGCAGAGAAAATGATACAAATCAGTAACTGCTTTCAGTTCCTGGGTTTTAAGCATCAAGACCACCTTCAAGTGTCTAAAAACACCCAGCAGGTTCCACTAGGTCATCATTTGTGAGCAAAAAGCTTTGGCGTTCCTGCTTCAGAAGGTAGAAGTTTGGTCAGAGCCCTGGGGTGGAAAACAACAACCTTTGCTGCTGTCGTTTGTGTAATGTTAACAGAGGCACCTGGCCCTTGTGTCCTAAGGACCCCAAGTGCCCTTTCCACTGTTTTGTCAGTTTTTACCGTCCAAAATCAGTTGTGCTTTAATGTCCTAGTTAGGTTTGCTCGACTATGACAAATATGATAATCATGATTCTCTTGAATGAAATTGAGATCTCAGTTAGTTAAGACAATTTTTTAAGATAATTTTGATTTTATTTATTTTATGTAAAGAATTTCTTTATTTCTTTGGCCATAAAATTGCACAGGACACAATCATAAGAAAAAAAGAAATGTAAAAAAAGAAAGAAACGAGATAATTCCAAAAACAACTCCTGATTTCTTGTATAAAAAAAGCCAATACACTCGCTCATAGTTTATGCCTGAGAGGTGTAAGATATTTAACTGTACTTAATACATACCCAGTTTGATATAAAACATTTTTCAAATACTGACAGAGGAAGAGATGTAGAGTGCAGTTATAATATGAAATAAATATAAACATATAAGCATCCATGTTACAGTGAATTTCCACAACCTGCTGCGTAATAATTATTTAGTCCTGTCCAGTATTGCTGTAGGGTTGTGTACAGTAGCAACGTGTTGCTCAGATAGATTAACAGTTATTGTTTATCAGCGTGAGAGACTGGAAGTGTGGCGTGAGACCTTTTGAAGACAGTAAAATGCGTGTGAGAGTTTGCAGCCCTGAGAAAACAAATCAGTTTCAGATATGGCTTGCTGTGTCTTGAATTTATTTAGCTTGTAAAACAGCTGTTTTAGCGAGTGAGCTCCACCAAGATAGGTTTATGAATGGTCAGTCGATGTAATTCAAATTCAATTCTTTATTAATCCCAGAGGGAAATTAGAGTTTCAGTACACACAATTCTGAGATCAGACATACGGTGACTGTGGTCATTCGCAACCCGAGTCGCGCTACCTTAGTGGTGATTAACTGATTAACGGGATCAGGTTGTACATACATCATTCCCTTTCCTAATGTCTGGATGGACGGTCCTGAGCACAGGCTGGGTTTTTTGCTAACCTGCAGGAAATGTCGACATTAGAGTTATACAGAAAGTAGCGAAGGGTTACCATAAATGTTGCTAGGCTGTTTTCTTGGTACTTTTAGAAAAAAGGTCAAGAAAGGGGTCTGAAAAGTTGTTGGAAATAGTGACAAAGTTTCTTAGTTGGCAACGCTGTTGGGAGGTGCTGTCCATTTGCAACTTGTGGCGCTTCCACGTTTCTTTTAATTAATTCAATTTGTTTATGTGACAGGCACAGTGCATGACATTCAGCCATACCAGAATTAGCTATAAGCTAGATTTCATCTGTAGTTCCTGTAGTCATCTGAGCCAGCATGGACCGGACTAGGTGTCTTTCAAAGTGTTCACATCTAGGTGGCCTTGTGTTTATCCATGCTCAACCAGTTGGTTGTTCGGCCCACAGGCGGTCTGCTTTGGGCTGGTCCAACACACCCACTGGCAACTGTTTGTCCGGCTCAATTACACGCCTACCGTCAGGAAGAGCTTCCGATTGGCAGATAGAATCAACCAGCAGATGCTTCCCACATGCACATCTCTCCGTCTCTCCTCACTGCTGAGGAGTACACACACAGAGACAGCGCTGCCATGCTTTGAGCCGCACTTTGGTCAAGGCAGACACCAAAGAATTTTCCGTGTGTTGTTTGCCCCACCCGTGTGCTCAGAGATTTCCCCCTTCCTTTTCTTTTTTTTTCTTCTACCGTGTCCTGTCCGGCTGTGAAGCAATCAGAATTAATGTCTGAATGCCGAAGACAAGCCTTGCAGTTTTATTCTCACAGGTGGAGCGTTATAGCTTCTGCTATATTGCCACTCCTGATACCAAAACTTTATTAGCAACATTTTTGGTTGTTTTGAATACCAATGGACATGGAGACACAAGTGTAAGAATAATCACAAAAATGAACAATAAGTGATGAGCAAGAATCTGCTTCTAGACCTGCAGAAAGAGAGAGAGAGAAAAGGTGGACACACAAATACAACAGGAACAAAATATCACTGCGCCAGCACCATGAGGATATAGAAAAGTAACTATCTATGCTGAGAAACAAAAGGTAATAATTCATACTGCATTTAGTGCCAACCACAGCCACCACACATGTGATGTGTTGAAAATGCCCAAGTCCATCCTTGTGAGAGCACCATGTGAGCACCTGTGTGCGTGCACATGCTTGTGTCTGTAAGGTTTCTCTATAGGAGCATCCAACAGTGAGTGTGAGGGGCCACAGACCTGCCCCCAAAGATGTGCGGAAGACGGAGGAGTTCCGAGCCCTAGGTCAAAATGAACAATGCCGATGGTGTGGACCTCTTGTACCTGAGCTCGTAGCCAGCTCTGAATATGATCCTTCTAGTCTGGGTTATCTTCAGGTGATGGAGGGAAGCTGGAGTGTCTATTTTGCATCTAAGGCTGTTCAGTGGCTCTTAAAAAAAGCCATTGTGTCTCTTAATCACTCACATGTGTTGCAGAGAGGCTTTGACCTTGAGGTCAAAAGATAGGATCCTCTCAAAATGCTTTTTTGCCCGATTGGCCTTATGGAGTGAATGTCGAAGACTGACTAGATCAGGAAGTGTTCTCTCTTTTATTAATTTTTGTTTATAAACTTAGACAAATCAAAATTTGACACGTTCAAAAGACATTACCAGAATACCTCAGAAATCATGCCTTCCCTCAGATATTCAGAGAGGTTAACTCTTATTGTGAAGTGAAAATGTTTTTTTTTACACATTTAGGTGAAGTGAATGTTAAACCTTAATATTAATCATATGATGTATTGGTGTACTGATAGATTAACTTGTTAAATCAACAAACACTGATCTGGTGTAGTTTAAGATCTGAAATGAATCAGTGCAGGAAAAACATTCATTTTAACACATCATTGATTAATGCACACATTATTCAAACACTTCGAGATTTAAACAAATTGTTCATTATACACATTTGATTATATCAACCTATACAGTCGGAAAGTCATTTATGTTTCAAGGAAAATTAACTATTCAGAGTGAGTGCAGAAAGTCTGGTTTTCTGCATTACTTTTGTTCCAGCCAAGATAAGGAAAGCACTTATTATGGCTACTTATTTGGCTGCATGTCATAGATCCTTGCTTTTCTTGTTTGGGGGCCAGACAGATGTAATGCATCCCTGGATCTGTGATGTAGTTTATGTCTGGAAACTAAAAGTTAATTTCTGGTCATTTTTATGTGAATACTTGACCATTGAGTGCGCTACAAAATGGTAACACTTTACAATAGGGTCCCTTTATTAATGTTACTTACTGCATTATTAAACATTAATAAACAAAAGATCCCTTTATCAACATTCTTGATGTAGTTAATTAAGTGCCCTTCACTTTTAGGACAAAGGTATGGGGAGAGGGGTCTTCTTAGCAATGCATTACATAAAATATTTAATCAGTTAATATTTTGTTAGTTTATTATTGCTTAATAATGCTCTAAGTAATGTTAGTAAAGGGACCCTTATTGCAAAGTGTTACCAAAGAAGCTTTGTTCTTAACAGAGGGAAATGCCATCCATCCATCCATTTTCGCCGGCTTATCCGGGGTCGGGTCGCGGGGCCAGTAGTCTAAGCAGGGAGGCCCAGACTTCACCTCACCCCAGCTTCCTGAGCCAGCTCCTCCAGGTGAATCCCAAGGCGTTCCCTGAGACATAGTCCCTTCAGCATGTCCTGGGTCTTCCTTTAAGTCTTCTCCCAGTTGAATGTGCCCAGAAAACCACATCCAGAGTGCATCCTAACTAGATGCCCGAGCCACCTCAACTGGCTCTTTTCAGTGTGGAGGAGCAGTGGGTTGACACCGAGCCCCTCCCATATGACCGAGCTTCTCATCTCATCTCTGAGGGAGAGCACAGCCATACAGCGGAGAAATCTCAGATCACGTTGTGATAAAGCCAACAGGAACACATCATCTGCAAAAAGAAGAGATTCAATCCTTTGGCCACCAACATGGATCCCCTCAACACAATGACTGTGCCTGGATATCCTGTCCATAAGAGTTATAAACAGAATCATTGACAAAGGGCAGCCTTGGCGGAGTCCAACTCTCATTAGAAACAAGTCCGACTTAGTGCCGGCAATGCAGACCAAGCTCTGACACCAGTCAAATAGGGACCTTATAGCCCATATCAGAGGGCCTAGTACCCCATACTCCCAAAGTATTGGTTGACGCGGTCAAACACCTTCTCCAAATCCACAAAATATGGGTAGATTGGTTGAGTAAACGCCCAGACACCCTCCAGGACCCCCCCTAAGGTTATAGAGCTGGTCCAGTGTTCCACAGCCAAAACAAAAGCCAAATTGCTCCTCCTGAATCCGAGGTTATACAATCCATCAGACCCTCCTCTCCATAACCCCTGAATAGACTGTACCAGGGAGGCTCAGGAGTGTGATCCCCCGTAGCTGGAACACATCTCAGTACCAGAGATCGGAGAGACCAACCCAAAGTCCCCAGACTCTGCTTCCTCACTGTAAGATATGCCGTTGGTATTGAGGAGGTCTTTGAAGTACTCCCTGAGTACATCCCTAGTTTAGGTCAGCTGCACACACTGTCCTCACCATAAACGATGTTTGTTGCGAACTGCTTTCCCCTCCTAAGTTGCCGGATGGTGGACCAGAATCTCTTCGAATCTCCCAGATGTGTTTAGCACTAGTTGGCCCCTTTGTAAAATAAAGACAACTCACTTCACTCAGATCATTAATGTCTAGCACGCCAGCTACTTACTGTACTAGTGCTAATTGTGTGTGTGTGTGTGTGTGTGTGTGTGTGTGCGTGCGTGCGTGCGTGCGTGCGTGTGTGTTCCAGGCTGCAGAAGAAGGTGGTGAGACTGTAGCTTGTTACAGTGTGTGTGTCAGCCTGGCAGAAGGAGAAGAAATGTCTAACAGTCACTGGAGCGTTCAGAGGAAACTCTACGAATTCCAGATGTTGCACCGTAAACTCATTGAGGTAAGGCAGTGTCAAACCTCTACTTGCACCAGTATGATCATCGTCACTGGACAAGTCCTCTGTCTCAGAGCAAATTGTGTCTGTCTGCAAAATTCTCCACAAATGTGTACTGGAAAGATGCTTAAAGAGCAAGTCACCTCCCTACCAGAATCTTATTCCACTCCCACTTCCTCTATGGAAGATGCAACAAATGCTGTTGCCTGGTAGACCGAGAGGGCGGAGCTGCTAACAAACACACACACACATACACACACTCGCACGCACGCACGCACACACACACACACACACACATTGTAACATCATATGCTACCAGCTAAAATCATAGGGTACCTCTTAGCCAATAGCGATGGCAGATTTAAATTAAAACGCAGAGTTTTATGTAAAGAGGGCGCAACACTGACAGTTTTAGGCCGGATATTTAATTTTTAACTAAGATGCTCTAAAGTGCCAAATTATTGACTGCACGTGTTTACAGCACCATTAGACACTCGTTTATATAGGTTATCAGCAAAACGTTTATTTAGGGGTGACTTGCTCTTTAACCCTCCTATTACCATCCTGTGGCCGCAGACGGGATTGGACATGCGCACTTCTCATTACCATAATTCCTGAACTGTTCAAGATGTCTGTAAAATTCTAAAAGTGCTGAAAAGATTAAAAATAGGGCTTTTCGTGCATATACAATACATTACGGTAGCCGCCGGGATTCCCTGTCTTGAGCTCAACGAATCACAACTCCGATTCAGAGACGTGCTGAGTTTGTCTTCCAAAATGCTCTGTTTTATAACTTTTGAATGGCTGATCAGATCCAGGAAATTCCAATGGTTCCTAAAAGTACATAAAAGCAGCTTTCCAACGATCTATAGCATGAAGCAATTAGAGTTATGGAAAATATCGCTACCAGGGGAAATCCTGCTGTACAGTGCAGCGCCGCGGTGAAAGCGGATAACGGAACGGGGAAGCTAATCAGCATAAAAACCAGCATGAAATTATGGAAATGCCTCAAAGAAAATCAACACGATCTATTAGGTGTCCCAGAAGGCTTATATCTGAAGACTGTGACCACGAAGAAGGACAGACCTCTAGTGAACCAGGGTATGAATGTTTGTTCAGTCTTTATTTTTAATTTTTTTATTTGAACAACCCTCAACTATTTGCTAAAATAAATAAAAACGTCTGAAAGTTTATAAAAATAAATGGTCTTAAAAACTGCTAGAAAAGATACCAAGGTTCAAACTTTTTTAAGAATAGATGCATTACAGTTCAAAGTTTAAATAGTTCATTCCAAATTGTTTGCCCAAGTCATTTTAAAGTTCCTGTTCTGTAATTAATGTAAAAAATTCAAATCCGTTTTTTCCTTTTTTCACATTTAAGCTGATTTTTTAAAGGCTTTAATAGAAATAAATTCTAAATACAAACCATACACTGAAAGCCAAGGTTGTTCTGAAAAAAGGAGAAGAGTTACACACACTTTGCACTTTTTATTACAATTTTACAGCCATAAGATTAAAAAATACCAGGCGGCCCTGTTATGATTATGGTCATAAGAGGGTTAAAAAACTCTACAATAATCCTTGAAAGGGACTCCTCTTTTTCATTCTTCTGTGCTGCCCTGTGGGGCTCTACTGCCTCCATAAACACTCCAGAAATGAATAAATGATGAATGACCCGCACTTGTATAGCGCCTCTCAGAGTAAGGACTCCAAAGTGCTTTACACTACAGTGTATCATTCATCCATTCACACACACATTCACACACTGGTGGGGATGAGCTACGATGTAGCCTTAGCTGCCCTGGGGCGCACTGACAGACACGAGGCTGTCGAGCACAGGTGCCACCGGTCCCTCTGACCACCACCAGCAGGCAAGGTGGGTTAAGTGTCTTGCCCAAGGACACAACAGCAGAATTATCTGTCCGGAGCTGAGATCGAACCTGCAACCTTCCGATTACTGGACAACCCGCTCAACCTGTTAAGCTGCTGCTGCCCCAGTAAAAACATCCATCTGTTTTCTCGGCTCATGTATTTGTACGTCTGATTTTGGAGGAGTCAATAGCTTTCAACAACCTTGCTGGTGTTTCCACCTATAACGCTCGTCTCTCTCCTCATGTTTGTTTGAAAGAATGAAAGAAAGAACGTCTACTTTTATATAGTGCCTCTCAAGATAAAAATCACAAGGCACTTTACAAAAAAGGAAAAATAAATGTAATTATAAAAAATATTTTAAAAATGATTAAAATGTGTTTAAGATGAGAAAAAAATTGTGATTTAAAAATATATAAGGAAAAGAAGAGAGAAAATTAACAGGAAAGAGGGAAATTGGTGGATCCTGGGAAAAGCAGAATAAGAGCAGAACAAGGAGAGGGTGGTGATGAAGGTCCCACCAAAGCCTGAACAGGTGAGTTTAAAGGAGACCACTGAGTCCACTGATCTCAGGCTCGGGGGGAGAGGTCCAGAGTCTGGGGGCCACAGCAGCAGATGATCTGTCACCTTTGACCTTTAGCCTGGTGCTGCACAACCAGTGGGCTTTGGTCACTGGACCTCTGGGACTTGCTGGGGTTGTAGGGACTGAGAAGATCACCAATGTATGATGGTGCTTGTCCATGGAAGGCCTAAAGACCAGGGGCCTCATTTATCAAGCTTGCTTACGCACAAAACGGGGTCGTAAAACTGCGTAAGCAACTTTCCACGCAAACTTTGGGATTTATGAAAGAAAACAGCTGAAAAATGTGCGCAACTTTAAGTTGACTAAGGACCTGGCTTACACACATGTTGGACATGGAGAGCACCTGCAGTGCTGCTGCAGAGAAAGATAAAATGATGAAATCCTGCAGCATTATCACTGGTACTGCTTCGTTTTCACACAGAACAAGAACCCCCACATGCACACACACGTGCACATGCACACACACACACACACACACGCACGCGTGCAAACACACAGCCTAAAAGGCAGAATACGGAATGCAGAATATCACCAGGGGGACAGATTGAGACAGAATGTCATGCGTCTCTGACAGTGTGTGTCCTGTCACTGTGACCCATTTGATCATGCACCCTGGCTACTTGTACAGGGTAGATCTCTGTTTGGCTGACTGGTTAGCATGCGTGACTTTCACCCGGGAGTCTGGGGATCGAATCCTGATTGTACCATTTTTTTTTTATATCCGCCACAGATCTCTCTGAAGAATTCACAACATTGACGGCTTCAGCAACGCTGTGCCACTCTGTGGATTTTCTCTTATTTGTTTTGCAAAAGCACTTCCTTTCATTTCTCCACCTCACCCACAAGTACCTCAACTTCTGCTTCTGTGAAATTGCACTTCCTTGATCTGCCTTGATCTACGGTCGCCATGTCATTAGCGGAGCGCTGCAACAGCCAGCTTATGTATATGCATGAGATCCACAAGGCACTTTGCATTGACTATTTATGGCAGTAAGTGGGCGTGGTGAGGGCGGGATGTGACTAAAATGCAGCTGAGAAACATTCTCATTAGTTTCCGATTGATGAAGCGGAGATTGCGTGCAGCTGTGCGTACTCCATGTTTGATAGATCACAAACCTACTTGGTGTAAGTACATTTTTTTTTGCTGAACTTAAGTGCGGTTTTAGTAAGGATTCTACGCAATGTTTGATAAATGAGACCCCAGGGGGGCTCATTTATAAAGCTTGCTTACGTACAAAACGGGGTCGGAAAACTGCTAAAGCAACTTTCCACGCAAACTTTAGGAGTTCTAAAAGAAAACGTAGCGGGAAAATGTGCGCAGCTTTAAGTTGACTAAGGACCTGGCATATGCACATTTTGGAAATGGAGAGCACCTGCAGTGCTGCTGCTGAGAAGATACAATTATTAATTCCAGCAGCATTATACCCCTTCTTGCCAATTCTTTAAGTGTTCCTGACATTTCAGTCAGGACATCACATATTCTGTGCAGTTCTTCTCGCACTTCATTCACCGCACAAATCATATCCCTCTGTGCCTGCAGGACAGAGTCAGTTAACACTTGGCCACTTCCAGGTGCGCTATGCGCCCGAGGCGCACTGGTGAGACAGGCCGACCCTGCAGCCACACCTTCGTTCGCTGCCCGGGATGCTTTGTTGGACACTTCGTCCAGAGTCACTGTGGGCAAACAACGAGATTTGGTTTTGTTTTATATTTTAATTACGGACACATTTGATCTGTTTTAATAAAAGGCTTAAATGTTACCAGTCTCCTCTGCATGGTCAGTGTCTCCCTCCTTCTCTGGCACGATACCACACATGCTGGCCGGTCCGAATACTGCCGAGATCCTAACGGCGAGTGGTGGGAGATCAGAGGTTCCAGGGCCTCCGCCAGTGGCAGACACACTCTGGCAGTGGCAAAACATCTTTATTTTTTTTTGCCTCCACTTTCAGATTGGACCATTTTTTTAATATCAGGCACAGATCTCTCTGAAGAACTCACAGCATTGATGGCTTCAGCAACGTTGTGCCACTCTGTGGATTTTCTCTTATTTGTTTTGCAAAAGCACTTCCTTTCATTTTTCTACCTCACCCACAAGTACCTCAATTTCTGCTTAGCCCACCAACCAAAACACAAGTAAGAAGTTAAAATGTAGCAGTTACTGGGGAATTTTAAAATAATTAGAATGTATTTAAAAATTTGATGTTCTAAAAAAAACAACTGCTAATACATAGTTACAAAGCTTAAAAGTAGATACATTTTTGGAAAAATTATTTTAAACAGAAAACATTAACTTTTAAACTAAGTTTAAAATCTGAACAGCTGAATTGTTTAAAAAGCTGGTATTTTAAGCAGAAATTATAAAAATTTGAAGTTTCACCACTAGCTGAACTGTAAATACCAACAGATTTTGTTCAAGACTAAAAACTTTAGCTTTAGAAAGGTAAAACATTACAACTGCTTTAAATATGATGAAAAACTGGTAGCTCAACATTGTAAAAGCTAAATTAAAGCCAAAAGGTGTATACAATGTAAATTTGGTTTGTTAGTTCATGGAGATGACAGAACCAGTAGAGCTGACACTGGTAGTGGTCATCCTCTGAAAATTTTAACTGATTTAAAGTTCCAGGTTGGGGGGTGATTTTGGAATCTTATTTTCTGATATTTAGACATGTATCCTCGGATGCGATAACAGCAACGCAACTCTACCACTGGCTTGTAACATGGCTGTTTTATCTCCACAAATGACACAAGCCTCACTTGGGTTGGTGGGTTGGTTGGTTGATTTCGGTCCTGATTTTGTTGTTAAGATAGTACCTGAACTTAAGTGGTTGAAATTTCTAAACATTTGAGATAAAAAAATTAATAAACATAGTTTAATCAAATATGCATTTGAAGATTAAGTAATTGCATGTCATGCTTTTTTTTTCTCTGTGTATTAAAAAGGCTATTTCCCAATTGTAATTCTATTAAGCTGTATTGCAAACCCCGAAAACGTATCTGAAACTTAATCTGCAGTTATACCCAAATTATAATGGTTACAAAAATGTTGCTTCAACATGTTGGAGTTCGATGTCTGTTTTGTTAATCACATCGCCATGATAACTCTGAACACAAGTAAAAGTGAATGCAAAACTTCTGAGACCCATCCGGTCGATTTGTGAATCATATGTGTGGAAGCAGAATTCTGTTTAGCCAGAAGAAGCTTGAACACAAAGCCAATCAGAGAGGAGGGATGGGGAGGAATGGTTTCCTGCCTTTTTCCTGGCAGTTGTATTCAAGCAGCTGCATTTATATTTATGATAAAAATTTTGGATCTGTGCTTCAGACATCAGATTGGAGGTCTCAACCTTCTCATCACTATTTAATTATTGCACCTATTCAAAAAGTTTCAAAGGTGTGAGTGACGGTCACAGTCACCCATCCCTGGGCTTCCACCACACTGTGGTTGAGAGGTTTGAGTCCCAATGATCCTAGGAGCTAAGTTGTCTGAGGTTTTATGCCTCTGGTAGGGTCATCCATGGCAAACAGGTCCTAGGTGAGGGATCAGACAAAGTACAGCTCACAGACCCCTTATGAAAATAATATTAATGGAAACAGTATTCGCTTGCCCAGACACCAGGGCCCCTCTCTGGAGGTGGGGCACATTGGCGAGCAACTGGTTGCAGGGCTTTCACCCATGAAGCCTTGCCAGGCACAGCCCGTAGAGGAAATGTGGGTCCCCCTTCCCATGGGCCAAAGGGGTCAAGTGGTAGCTGAAGGCAGGGACATTGATGCTCGGCTACAGAAGCTGGTTCTCGGTACATGGAATGTCACCTCTCTGGTGGAGAAGCGGCCTGATTTGGTGGGTGAGGTTGAGAGGATCCGACCAGTGACGTCTCCAGAATTTTTTTTCTGCAGGTGCTATGAAGGAGCTAGTCTTTTTATTGAGGGTGCTATGAAGGAAGTGGTCATGCGTACCTATTGTTCTCTAAAACAACTTCAACACTAGCAGATATACATGCGTGCACAAAACCTCAACAACACCTGAAACAATCATTAATAAACATCATAAACATATGAACAATCGCTGACTTGTCCATGAAATCATAAATGCATACAGCCACACAGAAAACCATCTATAGTGTTGCAAGGTTAGCTAACGTTAATGTTAGCATTTCCAGCGGCAAAACCCTCGACTGCTGCGGTGGTTGAGGGTTGACTCTCTTCGTCCAGATCCGTAGGTTTTTGTGGGTCTGAGATCACTTCCAAAGGTTCATTCGTTTCTGACTGAACCTGTGGAAATTTGGGCAACAAAAACCGATCCATTTTACCACTAGCTCTACCTTTCACTCGTTCGCAGGTGGAAAATGAGGTCAAAGGTTAACATCAATTTCCTGTTTTTAAGTTTTTACTATCTATATGACAATTTACTGATTATTTTTGTTTTGTATGTTAAATATTATGACATCCACACATTCAAATTAAATTGTAAAAAAATCTAATATTTACTTGGGGGTGCTATGGGGGTGCAATGACTAATCCAGGGGTAGCTATAGCGCCCCCTTGGCACCGCCACTGGTTTCGACTAGATATAGTTGGACTCACCTCGACACATGGCTCTTACTCTGGAACCAGTTACCTTGAGAGGGGTTGGAGACTTTACCACTCTGGAGTTGCTCCCACTGAGAGGCACAGAGCAGGGGTGGGCATACTAGTTGAAGAAAGAGTCCCATCTGGTCTTTTTGGCCTGTGGGACTCTAGAGGCAGCTGATGGGTAAGCAGAATGTGGCTCAGGTGGTTGTTTAGGCAAAATCCCGGGCACGAGAAGAGTTTGGTGAGACCATATGGCTTTGAGGAGATTCTGGTTCACCATCAGATCTGTGGCAAGGCTCCAGGGATAGATCAGATCTGCCCAGAGTTCCTTAAGGCTCTGGATGTCGCAGGGCTCTGTGGACTGACGCGACTCTGCAAAATTGTTTGGACATCAGGGGCAGTTCCTCTAGACTGGCAGACCGGGGTGGTGGTGGTGCTCTTATTAAAAAAAAAGGGGGACTGCAGGATGTTTTCCAATTACAGAGGGCTCACACTCCTGAGACTCCATGGTAAGGTCTATTCAGGGGTTCTGGAGAGGAGGGTGAGATGGATCTTTGAACCTCAGATTCAGGAGGAGCAATGTGGTTATCGTCCTGGTGACCAGCTGTATACCTTTAGGGGGGTCCTGGAGGGTGTGTGGGATTTAGCCTAATCAATCTACATGTGTTTTGTGGATTTGGAAAAGGTATCTTGGGGACAGGAGAATGAGGTACCAGGCAATCTGATCTGTTTGGTCCCTGTATGACCAGTGTCAGAGCTTGGTCCGCATTGATGGCAGTGAGTCGAGCTTGTTTCCAGTGAGATTTGGACTCCACAAAGGCTGCCCTTTGTCACTGATTCTGGTCATAACTTTTATGGACAGGATTTCTAGGTGCAGCCAAGATGCTGAGGGGATATGTTTTGGTGGCCGAAGGATTGAATCTCTGCTTTTTGCAGATGACGTGGTCCTGTTGGCTTCATCAAAACGTGATCTCCGGCTCTCACTGGAGCATTTCGCAGCTGAATGTGAAGCAGCTGGGATGAGAATCAGCTCCTCTAAATCTTAGACTGTGGTCTTTAGTCGGGAAAGAGTAAAATGCCTTCACTGTATCAGGGATGTCTATCCCCAAGTGGAGGAGTTTAAGTATCTCGGGGTCTTGTTCATATGTTTGTTTCATATTGAACAGCAATCTTAATGTTGTTTTTATTCCCATTCTTGCCCACTCCTGTTGATTATTTTTCCTGTTTTGTCCCAGTAACATGATTATAAATAACTTGACTCCTAATTCACGGGAATCCCACAGGACTCGCTTGACTCACTAGGATCCCAAAAAATTGTCAGCTTGTTATCCAGACTAGAGAATACTTGATGTTGACGCAACCATATCTCAACCAGGCATTTACAGCTGCTGGGCACACTAGCTAGTATTTGCAACTGAGACAGTAAAATGCATATGTGAAGCCAAAAACCACTTTGGGGGTGCATTTAATGAGGAAATAAAAAAAATTAAAAAAACATGGTCGCAACCTCCATAAAGTGGATTTTGGATGATATAGGACTTTACTGATATCACTGGTAGCAATCCAGTCCATGTTAATTTCCAATGTATATCATCAACAAAATATAAAACTGTTTAAAATAGTTGCTACATGAATGAGTGATAGATTTATCTTTGCTTGTTCCCAGTGTTTTCCGTCCTTGAAAAAACTCCAGTTACCAACGCTGAGTAAACTTCCCTTCAAATCCATTGACCAGAAGTTCTTGGACAAAAGTAAAACTCAGCTGAATGCATTTCTCCAGGTAAACAAAAAGCAGGAAGCGGAGCAGATGTTTTCCATGTGTCACATATCTCCACATTCTTGATTGTCGTCCTTGGAGAAGAACATATTGTTCTCCCTCCGGGTTTAATAGCAGCTGCTGATAAGGAACCAGGGTTGTGTGTGTTTGTGTTCCAGCGGCTGCTGATGGATGAGCGACTGTGCCAGTCAGAAGCTCTGTATGCATTTCTGAGTCCATCACCTGAACACCTCAAGGTAACAGGCTCTCAAACTAGAAATTTTCCTTCTTTTGAAACTGTGTGAATTGTTACCCTGCTTGTTTATACGCACACTTGTTTCTCCTCACTTAAGCCGAGCATACAATTTACGACTTTTGGCTTGGTTTAAGATCATTTTCCTCTCATGCAAGAATCTTTGAGGTCGGGGTGAGTTTTGCATCATGTCGTACACAGGGGGTAACGATAAATGGCTGGCACCTTATTACCAGCTTCAGATCAGCGACTGTGTGGTCGCACGAACATCAAATATGTTTGATATTTTGCTCGTCTCTTGTGAGGGTCTCACGTAAAGTAAAGGTTTTGTCAAATCACACCCCTATAGTTAAATGACAGCCAGTGAAGCTGGAGGAGAAGCGTGGTTATGTGGGTGTGTTTGGAGGACTTGGTCAGAAGCCGAGCACAGGCATTCTGAACCACCTGTAGACGGTTCAGGGAGGTTCTGCTCAGACACGTGAAAAGAGTGTTACAGTAGTCTAAGTGTGAGGAGATGAAGGTGTGGATAACTGTCAAGTTCAGAGCGGGTCAGAATAAGACTCAGCTTAGCAATGTTCCTGAGATGGAAGAATGAAGAGCGAACAAGAGAACTGACATGAGAATCCAGGGTGAGAGCTGGGTCAAAGGTCACACCAAGATTCCTGACAGAAGGTTTGGTGTGGGAAGCAAGCTGACCAAGAGAGTCTCTGACTTTGGGAACCAGCTTGTCTGGGGCACAGATGAGGATCTCAGTCTTATCTTCATACGTCTGTAGAAAGTTCCCAGCCATCCAGGTTTTGATAGAGTCTAAGCAGGTGTGTAACAGCTGCAGCTTAGACATCTCATGGGGCTTAAAGGAGATGTACAGTTGGATGTCATCTGCATAAAGATGTTAGGAGATTATTTTGAAGGAGCTCAGGATGTGCTGAAGAGGAAGCAAATAGAGGAGGAAGAGCAGAGGTCCCAGCACAGAACCTTGTGGGACACCATGGGTAATAGAAGAAGAAGAAAAAAATATCATTTCTATAGCACCTCTCAAGATAAAAATCACGAGGCGCATAGAGGTGGTGGAGGACCTAAACTTGGAGATGGCCACAGAAAAGGAGCGCTCAGAGAGATAAGAGGAGAGCCACTCCAGAGCAGATCCTGATAGGCCTACCCAGTCTCTCAGCCTCTCCAGTAGCAGGTGATGGTTAACAGTGTCAAAGGCTGCAGTCAGGTCCAGCAGGACCAGAACAGAACTGTCCCCTGCATCACTGTGTGTCAGAAGGTCATTAGAGACCCTAAGAAGAGCTGTTTCAGTAGAATGAGCTCTACGAAAACCTGACTGGAAGCTATCATAGATGTTATGTTGATCAAGAGCAGCTGTGAGTTGTTTAGCCACAACCTTTTCCAAGATCTTGGAGATGAACGTACGTTTAGAGATGGGTCTGAAGCTGCTATGGAGAGAGGGGTCGAGACTCGGTTTTTTAAGAAGCGGGTGGATTACAGTGTTCTTAATGTAAGCAGGGACCTGACCAGAAACCAGAGGAGCATTAATTATAGAGAGCATGCTGGGACCGATGGACTGAAAAGCACTTTTAAACAAAGATGAGGGTAAGATGTCGAGGGGGCATGCAGAGGTCTTCATAGAGTTAACTAGTTTGGCTAACGCAGGCAAAGAAACAGGAGCAAAGCTATCTAGGATGATCGGCCTGGTTGGAGTCGGGAGAGGCGGCGATAAGGCTGAAGGAGAGATGCTAGATCTAACCTTATTGACTTTGTCCACAAAGAAAGACAGAAAGTTCTCACAGTCTGCAACAGAGTGGATGGAGGCTGTAAGAGAGGCAGGAAAGACAATGCTGCTGATGGTGTTAAACTGCACCTTGGGGTTCCCTTTGCTCTGGGACACCAGGTTGGAGAAATAGGAAACCCTAGCGTCTCTGACTGCAGAGTTAAAGGATGTCAGAAGATCCTTTAGGTGCAGCAGGTGGAAGGGGAGATGGGTTTTCTTCCACAAGCGCTCAAATTTTCTGCATTGGCGCTTCAGGCTGCAAAGGCTGTCACTAAACCAGGGAGTAGGGTTCACTGCAGGAACTGATCTGGTTCTGACAGGACAGATGTTGTCCAGAATGGAGAGGCAGTGCTCGTTAAACTGAGAAGTTAAGGAGTCTGGGTCATTATCAGAAGAACAGGGTGGATCAAAAGCAGCAGAAAAATTTCTAGCTGTGGTCTCATTAAGAAAACAAGAACTAACCATACGGCGAGCCGGAAGTGGGGACGCAGAAACTGACGAGGTAAAGAAAATGCAATGGTGATCAGAAATATAAACATCCTCAGGACAAACACTGTCAGCATTTAGACTCAGGGTAAAAACAAGGTCTAGAGTGTTCCCCCTGGTGTGTGTGGGGCCAGAAACATGCCGGTAAAGCCGAAGGTGTCCATAAGGCTGGAGAAATTCATGGCAAAGAGATCGGAGGGATCATCAACGTGGATGTTAAAGTCACCAACAATCACCAGTCTGGACAGCTTCACAGTGGAGGATAGAAAGTCACTAAACTCCTGAAGGAAAGAACTGTTTGGACCAGGTGGATGATAGACCACAGCACAGTAGAACGGGTCCTTAAGCCCGACTTTAATCAGCTGCAGTTCAAAGGAAGCAAAGTGACCAGAGGTTGTAGAGCTACATGGATGATGGTCTCTGAAAACAACAGCTAGGCCTCCACCACGACCAGAACCCCGAGCCTGGCTAAGAAAAGAATAACCACTCGGGCAGAGTTCAGTCAGACCAGAATAATCAGATGTTTGCTGCCAAACTTCAGTCAGAAACAGAAAATCCAGGTTTTTTGAGAGAATTATATAATTGAGCAGGAAAGACTTATTGTTAACAGAGCGGGAATTTAATAGAGCCATGCTGAGTGAGGTGGAGGAATCAGAAACAACAGAAACAGCTGGAGTTAGTGGACGTAAGTTAGCAGGGTTAGATCCACGGTGTTTATAAAAACCACTTATGGAGGGAACAGGAGGACAAACCACTGAGGAATGAGGATAAACTAACCTTAAAAACTTGCACGGATGAACCGTGTCCCAACGCGGCCTGGCGGGAATGCGGAAGTGGCGCTCAGGTCACCAAACAAAGGACAAGAAGCTAGAAGATCGCGCCGATGTTTACCAGATAAACCACGCTTTAAGAAAAGTCTTATTCTCACCTGGATTCCTGCTCGCTTACCTCTTTTCCTCTGACGTTTTCCCGGGACCGGACAAACACAGCCGGAGGCGGGCAGCTCGGGACCGTCGATTGGTTCCGGTTCCGGGCCGGTGCGCCACTCAGGTAAACAAACAAGATGGTACGTCCTCGGTGCATCTTGGGCGATCGTGAACGAACGGAAGGACAAACGAGTCTGGCGATCATAGGAGATGGTAGCAGGGACACTAGTGAAGAGGACAGGAGCAAGGTGGAAAAGAGGAGGTTAGTGGAAAAAAGTTAGAAAAAGTGGCCGGTGACTGCGGCTAAGCCAAGCACAGGCGCCATCTTGAGGGAGATACAGAAGGGATCTTGGATGTTGATCTGTGGGGGAGGGGTGGGGAATTTATTGTTGTGTGGTTGTTTTTATTGTTGTACAGCATTTTCAGTTGCACTCGTTGCATGAAAAGCACTTCTTAAATAACATTTGATTTGATTGATTTGATTTTAGTTTTTAATTTACTTGAATTTAATTTATTATTTTGTTGGGACAGTGCATGTTATTGAACATACATGAATACAAAAAACATGAATGTAAACACACCAGATTATAGCCGAGGGCTAATTTCCATCTGCAGTCCCAAAGGGCCAGTTCGCACATGGGCCCAAGATTTGATTTGATTTGATTTGACAAGTTTCCTGTTAGCATGACTACAAATCAGACTTTTGCACGTCGCTAATGACGTCACCACAGAATTTCCTCTACTTTAGTGTAGCTGCTACTTACCAAATGCCCAGATTTATGGTGTTTCTTTTCTCATGAAGGAAAGATTTGTAGTTCGTTGAACTTTCCAACGAGAAAACAAGATCTAGAGTGTGTCCCATTTAGTGTGGGGCCTGAAACGTGCAGCTCTAAGATAAAAGACTCAATCATAGACATGAACTCTACTGCTGTGCTACAAGTAGGATCATTAATGTGTAAGTTAAAGTCAACAATAATTGAAACTTTTTCTAGTTTGATCATTGATGGTAGACATTCTACAGATCCAGAGAAAAGGGCCATCTGAACCGGGAGGTTGGTAGATTAAAATACAGTGAAATACATTTTGTAACCCTACTTTGGTGACTTGACATTCAACAGTAGTAAAAGGGCCATTATTCACCAGATTAAAGACATGTTTGTCCTTAAAGACCACAGCCAGATCTCCACCACGACGTGATGGTTGTGGTGTGGTAAACACAGAGCTATGTGGTGGACATATTTCATTGAAATGTACAAAATATCCATCTTGCTGCCACGTCTCAGTAAGAAATATATAGTCCAACTTTTCTCTGGTGAACAGCTAATTTAAAATAAAGGATTTGTTTGAGATGGAGCGGGCATTTAACAGGGCACACTGAACTGAATCCTGGAGAACATTTTTCTTCTTAACCTGTTGGAGAGGGATGGATTGTAAACATCTGGTGTTCTGGGTTCTCCGGCCATGAATACAGTTTATATCTTTGCTGTTTGATAAATGAAATGGAATAGGGAAACTTTGGGGTTTGTCAGCAGAAGACAACATTTTGGGGATTGTGACCTTTAGAAGACACACAGAAGACTATTGGATCATGGGAGGACTGTAGGGGGTGATGTTATTTGTAGTGGAGGAGTGAGCGATGGCTGAAGAAGGTGAAGATGGCTGGGTTGTAAACCGTCATGTCTGTGGAAGAGAATCCACCATAGATATACAGGGAGTGCAGAATTATTAGGCAAATGAGTGTTTTGTCCACATCATCCTCTTCATGCATGTTGTCTTACTCCAAGCTGTATAGGCTCGAAAGCCTTTTACCAATTAAGCATATTAGGTGATGTGCATCTCTGTAATGAGAAGGGGTGTGGTCTAATGACATCAACACCCTATATCAGGTGTGCATAATTATTAGGCAACTTCCTTTCCTTTGGCAAAATGGGTCAAAAGAAGGACTTGACAGGCTCAGAAAAGTCAAAAATAGTGAGATATCTTGCAGAGGGATGCAGCAGTCTTAAAATTGCAAAGCTTCTGAAGCGTGATCATCGAACAATCAAGCGTTTCATTCAAAATAGTCAACAGGGTTGCAAGAAGTGTGTGGACAAACCAAGGCGCAAAATAACTGCCCATGAACTGAGAAAAGTCAAGCGTGCAGCTGCCAAGATGCCACTTGCCACCAGTTTGGCCATATTTCAGAGCTACAGCAACACTGGAGTGCCCAAAAGCACAAGGTGTGCAATACTTAGAGACATGGCCAAGGTAAGAAAGGCTGAAAGACGACCACCACTGAACAATACACACAAGCTGAAACGTCTGGGCCAAGAAATATCTCAAGACTGATTTTTCTAAGGTTTTATGGACTGATGAAATGGGAGTGAGTCTTGATGGGCCAGATGGATGGGCCCGTGGCTGGATTGGTAAAGGGCAGAGAGCTCCAGTCCGACTCAGACGCCAGCAAGGTGGAGGTGGAGTACTGGTTTGGGCTGGTATCATCAAAGATGAGCTTGTGGGGCCTTTTCGGGTTGAGGAGGGAGTCGAGCTCAACTCCCAGTCCTACTGCCAGTTTCTGGAAGATACCTTCTTCAAGCAGTGGTACAGGAAGAAGTCTGCATCCTTCAAGAAAAACATGATTTTCATGCAGGACAATGCTCCATCACATGCGTCCAAGTACTCCACAGCGTGGCTGGCAAGAAAGGGTATAAAAGAAGAAAAACTAATGACATGGCCTCCTTGTTCACCTGATCTGAACCCCATTGAGAACCTGTGGTCCATCATCAAATGTGAGATTTACAAGGAGGGAAAACAGTACACCTCTCTGAACAGTGTCTGGGAGGCTGTGGTTGCTGCTGCACGCAATGTTGATGGTGAACAGATCAAAACACTGACAGAATCCATGGATGGCAGGCTTTTGAGTGTCCTTGCAAAGAAAGGTGGCTATATTGGTCGCTGATTTGTTTTTCTATTGTTTTTGAATGTCAGAAATGTATATTTGGGAATGTGGGGATGTTATATTGGTTTCACTGGTAAAAATAAATAATTGAAATGGGTTTATATTTGTTTTTTGTTAAGTTGCCTAATAATAATGCACAGTAATAGTCACCTGCACACACAGATATCCCCCTAAAATAGCTAAAATTAAAAACAAACTAAAAACTACTTCCAAAAACATTCAGCTTTGATATTAATGAGTTTTTTGGGTTCGTTGAGAACATGGTTGTTGTTCAATAATAAAATTATTCCTCAAAAATACAACTTGCCTAATAATTCTGCACTCCCTGTATATCTATGGGACTGCACAGCATACCGGATGTTAGTGGTTAACATGCTTGAGCCATGTCGGTTGGGGTGAATACCATCTCACCTGAAAAAGGAGAAACGGTTCCAAAACAGGTTAAAATTATTGATGAAATCAAAACTGTGGGACCTGCAAGCAGACTGAAGCCAAGAGGGGAGAGAGAGCAGACGGCTAAGACTTCCATAACCACGAGAAACTGTGGGGATCGGGCCGGAGATGAAAACAAACATTCTGCTGCTCTTCAGAATGTCAAAGAGTTGGTTAAAATGCTGTTGAGTGATGACAGACTCCTGGCGTGTAAAATTGTTTGATCCCACATGAATGATCACTCTTAACTGAAGCTGGGATCTAGCACAACAGACCAGGAAGTTTATCCAGGAGAGCAGAACAGAGGCTGATGGAAAACATCTTGTCATGACGTTGAAAAAGTGGACATTCCTGATTATTGAATCACCTACCAGCAAAGTGGAATGTGAAAACAGTGGATGAGGGGTAGAGGACTCGATTTGTGTTCCCATGGAGTAGTGGAGGATTCTGGGTTTGGGTTTCTGTAGTGTCGGGGAACTTAGGGATTTGAGGTGGAGGGTTTGTCGTGGAGGAACTCATGTCCTGAGCCAGGGTAGGGGGTCCTGCAGTCTGCACCAATAATACTGTTTGTGATTATTTCAACTTAAAACGTGAAACTAGACAGGGATGCCCAGTGTTGCCTCTCCTGTTTGCTGCTGCAATTGAGCCTTTGGCTATTGCCATAATGCAGAACCCGGATATCAGTGGCATCTTGCTTCTAGGATCTATTAATGAAGTCTCCCTTTTTTTTTTGCCTATTACATGCTTTTATATGTTTTAGATCCTCTTTCTAGTATCCCAAAAGCTGTTGACTTTTATTTGTTCATTTAGTCAGAATTCAGATTATAAGGTAACACTTCAACTTTTTTAGTCTTTACATTCAGCTCAATCTCAGACTGTACAACTTCCTCGCAGAGCACAGCTCCCATCCCATATTCCCCCACTGCACAACCCGACGTGGTATCAACATGTCGGACCTTTGTATCCAAAAACCCAGAACACTGTTGTGTTGTTACTAATGTCTGCTGTACTTTAGACTTGCCATTGGAGGACACACAGAAGTTTATGGATGTTGGAGAAGTAAGAAATAAAAGAAGTAAACCAATGTTTTGGGATCCATATTTATTTGGCATAAACAAGAGACCCATGTACAGTTGAATATCAGCTGCATACGATGGTCATTAAACTATGGAACAAGCTTATGTGGATCTATAAACTGTTAAGGAATCTCATTAGGGTAATTTTATTTATTCTTTATTTAACCAGGAAGATCTTATTGAGATTAAATACATTGTTTTCAAGGGAGTCCTGGCCAAGAGGCAGCAAAAGTTAGTTACAAATGTTTCAGCTCCACACACATGTTATGTTTAAAATTACAGAAGGCAGTTACAACACAGGGAATCCATCTCAAGGGTTCTCTGTCTGGTTTTAAATGTAGTCAAAGAATGCAATGACCTCCATTGATGCTTTTGAAGAATCACATTTCTATGTTGAAGCAATTCCTGCTGAGACATCCAGGTTTCTGTAGTAGCTTCTTTCTGTTTTATTTTATTCAGTTTTTTAATACATCGCCAAATCACAACAAGTTGTCTTAAGGCACATCACAAAGTAAACATTCCATCACAGTTCAGTTCATTAAGCCATTTAGTTAAAAGTTTCCTATATAAGGAACCCATCGTCAGAGTCTTTACAGCAATCCCCACTCAAGCACGTAGCAACAGTGGAGAGGAAAACTCCTTTCTGTTTAGAAGAAACCTCCAGAGGATCCTGGATCAGTAGGGGCAGCCATCTTTCACAACTCAGTGAAAATTGAGAAGCCCAACAAACCCACTCACACAACTCAGGTTTCACCTTTCCACCACCTGTAATGCAGCTCCGAATCTTATTCGCAAACAGTTTCAGTCTAGGTGACACCTTCCTGCAACTAATCAAAACAATGTCTCCCACACAATAGAGGCTAACGACTCCTCTGGCGGTCGGGATGATGGGTATTCATAGGTAGTTTTTGCTCATTAAGCTACAACAGGCTTCCGCAGTTTATAAGCTTGACTCCCTTATTCCAGTCAGAATTGACAAAGCTGCTTGGATGAGAAGTGAAACATCTTCAAGAAACTAAGGAAGTCCAGTTGCCTTCATTTGAACCCCTTTGGCCCTGAATAGATCTTTACTACATGTGTAATGCTCATCGTCTATCCAAGCCTTTGGATATGATTTAGTTTTTGTTGCTTCATTTATTCTGATAATCATTGTAGTAATTGTACATTAATAATGTTTTGATTGGTTTAAGGTCATGTCTATTCAGAAGAAATCTTCCTTCTCTCTGGCCTCATTTCTGGAGAGATTACCTGGAGATTTCTTCTCTCACACCGAGGTAGACTCACACACTTGGCAAAGCAGGCAAATTGTGGATTTCCACTTGAATCCTCACAAACTCACCATCTACTGCTTGTGTTTGTTGTCTTTAGGAAGACAGTGATGATGACAGCGACCTGTCAGACTACGGCGATGAGGTCGAAGGGAGGAAAAATGCCCTGGCTGAACCATGCTTCATGCTCATCGGGGAAATCTTTGAGCTGAGAGGAAGTGAGGAGCTCAGTAACAAAACATAAAATCTGACAACATCCAAGTAAATGCTGATATCCATGATGTGTGTGTTTCTGCTCAGTGTTTAAGTGGGTGAGGAAGACGCTGATAGCTCTGGTACAGGTGACGTTTGGACGAACCATCAACAAGTAAGTACGAGGTTAGAGATGTTCAGTAACAACCCTCTTCAGATTTATTCATGTTGTGGCTTGGAAATCAAGAAGGCAGACTCAGAAATAAGTTGCATTATTTATTGTCCCACTCATTAAAAGCCACTTTTGGTTCAGCCATGCTGACTAAAAGTTAGAAACCAGGGAATGGAGGTTAAACTGACACACAGCCATCACTGCAGTTAGCCTGCATTCAAACAATTGTGAATAAGCAGCCCATTCATTATCACTCACATGTGTGTAGCTCCGCCCACAACCCGATTGCAGGTTACTGAATCAGTTAAGAACATAAATGATGGAAACAGATCACAATAGTCAACACCCTCAGGATTTGAATACCTATTGCCTAATCTCTAAACACTCTGTTCAATATCACCTATATGCTGACGACTGTCAGATTTACGTCGGTGAAACCCCAGCAATCCATCCAGCCTCTTCTAGACTGCCTACATGATGTGAAATGTTGGCTGGCCACAAATTTTCTGCATCTCAATGATTCCAAGACTGAACTGATCCTGTTTAATCCGGTCAGATCTAGCTCATTCCAAACCCCAGATCTTTCATCTATTTCTCAAAATCTAATAACTGTTGTGACAAACCTGGGTGTGAAGATGGATTCATCTCTAAGGATGGACGCCCAGGTCAATGCCACTGTAAAATCTTGTTTTTTCCAACTCTGCCATCTGTACAAATTAAGAGCTGTTTTATCTAGAAAAATTTTGGAATCAGTTGTTCATGCCTTCATCACATCTAGGCTCGACTACTCAAATGCAGTTTTGATGGGTGTCAATAAGTCAACCCTTGCTCGACTTCAACTCGTTCAAAACCTAGCTGCTAGATTCCTGACACATACTGACAGGCGCCAGCATATAACACCAGTTCTCAAATCCCTTCATTGGTTGCCCATCACTTTCAGGGTCCAAAATAAAATGCTACTTTTTGTTTTCAAATCCCTCCATGGTCTTGTCCCCGTGTACTTATCTGACCTTCTTTCAATTTATACTCCCGGTCGCACACTCAGGTCCTCCAGCCTGTTGCTCCTCGAGGTCCCGAAAGCGTGTTACAAATCATGTGGACAAAGAACGTTCTATGTTGCGGATCCTAAACTGTGGAACGAACTTCCAGTCACAGTTCGACTGGCATCCACCTTGGCAGATTTAAAGTCTAGACTAAAGACACACTATTTTACTCTTGCTTTTAACAGTTAGCTGTTAGTTTGGCTTTTACTACTCTTATTTTATCATCCATTGTAAGATTTTATTTGTACTTTTTTATCGGCTTGTCTTTTTTATTGTTAGCTGTTTTTTATAGTACTGTTTTATGTTTTTTATCTCTATTATTGTGTGACTGTTCAGCACTTTGGTCAGCCGTATGGCTGTGTTTTAAAGTGCTATATAAATAAAGATGGTATGGTTTGGTATGGTATGGTATGCCATTCTTGTTGAAGGTTATGGTAGGGTTCTATGCCATTCTTGTTGAAGGTTATGGTAGGGTTCTATGCCATTCTTGTTGAAGGTTATGGTAGGGTTCTATGCCATTCTTGCTGAAGGTTATGGTAGGGTTCGTACAGGTGCTTGAAATCCTGGAAAATGCTTGAATTTTAATAACGTGTTTTCAAGGTATGGAAAGTGCTTGATTTCTGTATTAGGCCCTTGAAAAAGATGAACCAAAATGGTTTGATGAAAAAACAAATTTTTCTATTTTTGTTAACAACAAAAATTAGAGAGCAATAATTTAGACTTTAATAAACACGGTTGCTGCTGCATCAAGAGGATCAGCTTCTTTCTGTAATACCGGTATGTGAGCAGCAGACTCTTCCTAATATAGAGACCAGCTGCTGTACCGGCAGTGCCCTCTGGCTTTGTTATGAAGCAGAACTACTTAAACTATGAAACCTTTATGTTAGTCAAAGTGTGTGAGGACCCTGCTTTGGATCTGGGATCCAGCAGGTCCTTCTGTGATAATTAGCTATGAAATCAAAATTAGATTAGAGCAGGGTACCAAAAAAACCATAAGAAAAGATATTTTCTGGCATAAAAAGTCCCTGTATAATCCGCAAAGCCGTGCTCCAGAGCTACATGTAACATCTGGGTTCAGATTTGTTTCAATGAACATAAAAACACCCATAATTTAATGAAGCGCCTTATCATTCATGCCATCTATATGAGCCAATGCATGTGTCATGTTTAACTGAGAAAGCAGACCTGAGTCACTAACCCTAACTCTGGCAAGCCATTTTAACATTTAATCAACAACCGACCCTGCTTGTAATTACCTATTTTACAAAGCGATTATATAATTAATCCTATATTATATTCTTACTAGTCAAAAGTCTAAATAAAGATATCAACTGTTATTTTTACTAAAAGAAATTGAATGCCGCAAACCCTATTTGTTAATCAACTATATTTATTGTTTATTTTTATCAGTTAATCGGTCTGCAGATGGAGGGAGGGCTGGAACCAAATACTTCAGTAATGGGTGGTAATTGTCAGAAATTTGATGGGAGTTTATAACAATAAATTTGATACTATATTTCTACTACTAATGATGACACAGAACAAATTATGATGGATGATGGTTGAAACCAGATAACTGAGATAATGAATGAAATGATGGAATGTAAGCTTAGATGATATGTAGCAAAGCCTGATTAAGTGTCTTAGAAAACCGTGATGTCTGGGTTGTAAAATAAGTCTGACTGTATGGTTTAACCAGGGGTGGAAAGAGTACTAAAATTTCCTACTTAAGTACGAGTACCAATACTTTGATTATTTTTTACTCAATTACAAGTAAAAGTACTTGCCTAAATTTTTACTCAAGAAAAAGTGAAAAGTATTGTAAACAAAATGTACTAAAAGTAAGGTACTTAGTTACATTTTTGTCAGCGTAAGGATGGCTACATCTATGTCAGGGGTGTCAAACTCAAACTCACCCGGGGCCGAAATGAAACTCTGGGACGGAGTTGAGGGCCAAACTTAATATTTTTGAAAAAGTGACGGCAAATTTGCACATTTTCTTTATCAACATGTATGCAATTTTGAACTTTTACATTTGGAAACAAACATATTTCTGCATTAACACTGAATGTGGAATAACCAAATTACACACGAGCAAGTCAGTTTTAAATAAAAGGCATCAGTGGTATTCATTACTTGTGGTATAATCAGCATTTTTAAAATCTATTCAGGATTTATGTTTTCTTGTTTATTCATTTTTCTTATTTTTTATTCTCCTGTTTTCTTCTGTAATACGTGTCATCGCTGCTGTGACATCGAGCTTTCCCCACTGAGGAACAATAAAGGGATTTTCTATTCTATTCATCTATCTGCAGCCTTTCCACTTCCTGTTTACTGTAGGTTAAATCTTTTCTCACGGGCCAACAACAAAATAAAAATATAATTTTATCTTAAATGAAAATGCAACATCTCACCTGTTAACTTTCATGTTTTGGAGCAGAAAAAGAGCATAAAACCAACATATTTAAAGCTCAGTTTGTTCCACTGGTTTACTGTGATGCTCACCTGTTCCAGCCAGATACCTGCATCATGGGGTTGATCTGAGCTGAGGAGGAGACTCCTGTTGTTTTGTTCATCTTCATCATAATAATGACAACATTAGATGACAACAGGTGCTCACATAGGTTTGTGCTGATGAACATGTCTGAGCAGCTTGACCACGTTGTTGTGTGTCGGGGAGGAAACACAACAACAGAGCCGTGCTGACTTGAGCGTGTCGCTGCTCGCTGGAGTTATATCAGCTCTTTCTGGAAGTTTGTTTGAAAACTTTCTCTTTCAGTCGTGAACACATTACTGAGCGGCTAGAATCTCCATTTCTGGGCTTCAACGTCAGAAAATAGCTGAGTGAACTCGGCGCTGAGTGAGAGGAGTGTAGTTTGTCCGAGACAGCGGAGCTGCAGAGACCGGCAGCAGGAACTGAAAAAACACAAAGGAGGGGGCTTCGTCGGCTCCGCGCTGACGCCGCAAAGCATCATGGGAGTTGAAGTCTTTGCGGTAAAATCGGCCAGCAGGCCAGTTTTAATATATTTTTGATATTTATCTCGTGGGCCACATAAAAATCCTCCGCGGGCCTTGACTCTGACATATGTGTTCTAAGCAGTGCTAAATCACAATGCCAGTTCACAATTCACTCGTGTGTGTGCGCACACACACACACACACACACACACACACACACACGCTCAAACACACATAGCTTGAAGGAGGGATTTCTATCCAATCAGTGAGAACAGGACGTGCACATTGATTGGACAAGGTTTTTCTAGGATTGTACGTTTCAACTGTGATTAAAATTATTCTTTATTTTGAAACAAAAATGTTAATTTTTAGATGCCATCAGTGTGTGAGGTATCTCAATGTTCTCATGACAAAACTCTAACATGAGACTGTACTCTAACCTGTCACATAACAAGCTAAATGAAAGTCAAACATTTCAAATGGACCGTATGACAGCTGCTAACGTTGGCCCTGCCCTACTTTACCTCTACATTACAGTTCCTTTATCCGTGTCCATCCTAGAGCTCCTCTGACCTTCATGCTTATTTAGAGCAGCTGATTTTTAAAGTTAGCAGAGTTCATCCTTGGTAGTGGGTTCACTCACTCATTTAACCCTTCACCACTGAAACCAGTTTGTTCATTCCAATCCTCCTAAATAATCCTCCAATCATCCAACTGGAATCCTTGAGGGTCCCGTAACGTCCATCCTGTCAGAACAGGCCTTGGGAGCCCAGGTGTTACTAGAACTAATGGTGTCTCCTCACCAGTGTGAGCCTCCAAACTGTGAAGGTTGGTCTCCAAACATGAACTTTAAATTCATGCATTTATCTCCTCTTGTAAAACTTTAACATGTTTTAAAAGGCTTGTATCATGATAAGTTACACCTCCCACACCAAAGATAAGATAAAACATTATCGTAGACACTATTAAGATGTCATTATTTATGAAATACAAGTTATTTTCCTGAGCTATTACTGCAGCCAAGATATAGGATGCATGTGTAACACACACACACACACACACACACGCACGCACGCACACGCAAGCGCGCGCGCACACACACACACACACACACACACACACACACACACACACACACTGCAGCATGTTAGAATCTTTTGAATGACTAATTTAACTACATTGAACTGCTTTAGTAATAATTTAATCTCTTATTCTGGAGTAAAATAAAGAAACAAGCTAAATCATCACATATGTGTGGCATCAAGAAGCATCTTCTGAGTTCAAACACAGGGAGGGAGCACAATGTTTACACCTGAACAGTATCAGGATGTTTTAACTCACAGAGGCCTGCAGGTCTTCTGTTTTATGAGCAAAGCGCTGAGAATCCGCTTGTTACGACCGCTAAACATTATTTTGCCGCTTCCGTGCGGAGCGGTAGAGAAACACAATTCAAACACGGAACCGAGTCCGGTTACCGAACCGAGCAGAATTCTGATGACGTCACACCGGTGCGCGAAGGTACGGGATCCAACCCACAGGAGAGGAGGGAGAGAGGAGGTAAACAGCGAGTGGATCACAGGAACTGAACTAATGTCTTTGAGCAAAAGTGTACCCCCCCCCCACGGTTTAGACGCAGTGCTCATGCAGGTGCCTCTTTCTGTTCCGACGCTGCTACATAGAATATTTTTAATTTATTAAGCCTATAATTTATTTTTACTCAGTAACGGATATCATTTAAAATGTAGCGAATTACAATTCTTTTTTAAAAACTTACTCAAGTAAAAGTAAAAGTACAGCTTTTAAAAACGACTTAAAAAGTATAAATTTACAAAAAAGCTACTCAATTACAGTAACGTGAGTAAATGTAATTCGTTGCTTTCCATCTCTGGGTTTATTACTCAAGTAAGGGTAAAAAAGTATTTGATTAGAAGGCTACTTGAGTACTGAGTATCATCTGATCTAATATTTTTAAAATTATGACATCAAACAGACAAAAAATAAGAGGTTATGGGCAAATATTGGTATTTTAAAGACTAAAGGGAAAAAATGTAAACAACAACATAATTAGAAAATAACACATTTTCGGCAAAATTTAGACACAAACTGAGGACAATATTTCCTGACATACAGGGTTTATTTAATTGTGTGAAAATGTAGCACGTTTAAAAAAATACCGCGATAATACCGAAAACCGTGGTAGTTTTGGTCACAATAACCGTGAGGTTAAATTTTCACTCCGTAACAACCCTAATACAGACCATTTTAGATTAGGTTACATTTCTTTTATTCCCAGATTATGTAGTTTGTAGCACTCATTATAATGTTGTAGAACATTTCTGGCCAATCCACGTGATCGGTATCGGTAATCGGCAGAAAAAACCTGATCGGTGCATCCCTAATCCTAGCCTGTCATACCACTTCCTGGTATTCAAAAAGTTACTTTTTAGAAATTTCATAGGACACATGAAGTTTGTCTTGCTTCCACTTTCGCTCAGCTCTCCTGCAGGCCTGCCTGGAGGCCTGGGTCTCATCAGACATCCACGGCTCCACCCTATGCCCTCCTTTCCTAATCTTAAAGGGAGCAACGTCATCCAAAACAGATGTGCATAGCATATCAAAATGAGTAATGAACCCTTCAACGGGGAGCTGGGCTAAGAGAAGATCCTGTCCTACTAGGCTAAAGCGCTCACTGAATCTTGCCACCTTAGCAGGATTTATGGCACGACTGCGCCTCTCAGGAAGAGAAGCTGGGATCTGCCGAGCCGGAACACTAAAATTACATAAAATCGGAGAGTGGTTTGAGAAAACAGGCCTCAACGTGTCCACATTGATGGACTGAAGACCAGAGGAAAGAACTAGGTCAAGAGTGTGTCCCTTCACATGTGAAGAACCCTGAACCCACTGTGAGAGATTCAGGGAACTTAACAGGTGCAAAAAATCCTTGACCATCGGCTTATCAGGGCAACAAATATGGATGTTAAAGTCTCCTACAATCAAAATCTGATCATATTTCAACACATTCATAGCCAAGAAGTCAGCAAAGTCTTTTAGAAATCCCACATTCAGTCCAGGCGGGCGATAATCCAACGCAACAAAAAGTAGAGGAAAAGGTCCAAGTTCAAAAGAGCAAACCTCAAAACTAGAAAAAGGATTTAAAGGGGTAATCTGTTTGGAGCTAAAACCTGATTTATAAACAATGAGGAGCCCCCTGCCCGCAGTTCTTGGCGCATTAAAACAACTACAGTCTGCAGATAATAATTCCAACAGGGCACTCGTGTCTCCCATTGGCATCCAGGTTTCACAAATACCCAGAAAATCGAGGCCTTGTTCCTCAAAGAAGTCTTTCAGAATAAGTTTTGTTCATTACCGACCTTGCATTAACCAGGCCGAGGTGAGCCGACGATAACGTCTTTGGTCCAGTAGCAGCAGAATCCAGAGACACAGGCGCAGTTGACACGTAGTCCACATGACGCAGATTAGCAAGGCTGATACCCTTCCAGAGATAGCAAAACCCCCGGAATACATGTTGCGACGGAGCATCCAAGTCGAAGCCCACCAATGGCACCAAGCAGGATGGTGGAGGGTCCAACAGGCGCAGTGGCGCCACGAGAAGACGTCCAGGCCCACACAGCCCGGCGAGCTCCTTCCAGGACTGGGGCGGTTTGGCACGTAGGTGCACGTTTCCCACCTCGACAGCCACGACGCCGGCGTTGCCTCCTCCACTGATGATGACCGGATACACACCGCGGAGGGACGGGTGGCACCGAGAGCTCCGAAATGAGTGCGGGGGACTGAAATCCCCCTGGTTCGTCACAATCACCTGGCTGATGAAACCGACATCAGGCCGGAGTTCCAGAAGCGTTGCTCGATCATAAGTCAGCAATAGTTATGTACTGAACTGCCAGAGGTTAAAAAAAGGTAAGGTTACTCAAAACCGAAAAATAATGTACATTTCAGATATATACAAAAAGGACTTTTTCAGGGAACTCAGCTGTTCTGCAGCAATGGAGGTTGATCAAGCCTTGAAAGCTGGTGCTACTAATTCCCACAGGTGTTCCAACTTGTCTGGATTACTTACAACCCCCTCTGTCTGCATAAAAGTAGTGTTGGAACATACTGTGGTACCATGCCCTCGTGAGCATCAGTTGAACAGTATTGTACTGCAGATAATAGTGTGTTGCTACTAAAATTGTGAGAAAAGGGCAATTAAAAATGGAAGAGATACTAACCATCATAACACTTAAAAATGTAGGTCTTTCCTACAGAGAAATTGCAAAGAAAGTCAAGGTGTCAATGAGTACAATTTACTTCACCATCAAAAGGCACTCTGGGGCAAACTCTGACAGGAAGAGGTTTGGCAGATCCAAAGCCACAACTGCATCAGAGGACAAGTTTCTGAGAGTTAACAGCTTGTGTGATAGGCGTTTCACTGGACAACAGCTTCAAGCACAGCTTAATAGTGGTCGTAGTAAGCAAGTCTCAGTTTCAGCTGTGAAGGTAAGACTTGGAGCTGCAGGTTTGACAGGACAAGTTGCAGCAAGAAAGCCACTGCTAAGACATCAGAATAAGAGAAAGAGGCTTGTCTGGGCCATGAAACACCACCGTTGGACTTCTGAAGACTGGAAGAAGGTATTATGGACTGATGAATCCAAATTTGAAATCTTCGGTTCATTGCGGAGGATCTTTGTACACTGTTGAGTAGGTGAAAGGATGGTTCCACAGTGTGTGGCATCAACTGTCAAACATGGAGGAGGAAGTGTTATGGTCTGGGGCTGTTTTGCTGGATCCAGCTGAACTCCCTTTTATTAACCATTGTTCGTCAATTTGGACAAATCAGCATTTGACAAATTTAAAGTGGGCATTACCAAAGAACTCAGACACCACTCTTTTCTCTAACACTTAGAGAGGTTAGTTCACCTAATGTGGAGCAAATCTTAATGCGAAGTGAAGATGTTAAACATTCATAATAATATTATTAATGTGTGAATATACATTTGCAAGGGAAAAGCAAAAGGCAGGTGATGTTTATTTTCCTGTGTGTGAATTCATGTGTTTAATAAAACTATCAGAAAACTATTATTCGATGTAACTCCAAGAATTTCACTTTTGTGCCAGCCTAATTAAAGATCACAACCATCTGCCCTTAGCAAATCCACAAAAATGGCTAAAGCCCGAGGCGCACAGAAGACCGATATACTGCACCACGTCAAGCTCGCGCAGTCATTTTAAAAAGAAGCCATTATAGTTACTGAGAGTGGCTACACAGGGAGCGCAACGCAACATCCCAAAAACGCCGGTTTGCGCCATGGCGCTTAAGATAGTCACCCACTCTATTTCAAGTGCCGTGGCGCAGCTGTTTATAACATTGTGGAGTACTGCACAACAGACATTATGATGCAGAAGGGCTTTACGGCACACACCCAACTGCCAAAACATGGACGAGAAGCTTATAAATGCTACTTGATTACAGTATTTATAACTTTAAAGTACTATTGATCGTAAAGTATTCTAATAAATAGCGTACTTACCCATTTTTAATGAATTAGTCTCACAAAACCCGACGGCAAGTCTGATCACGTCACTTTCCGCTTCCTGTTCTCAAGTCCCACGTGATGTTGTGACTGTCTTGCGATTTTCCAAGAAGCATTTGTGGTGCAGTGAGTCCTGTGTGACCATTTGACTTTCCAAAACCACAGCACTTCCATGGCAGAGCGCATCAGTCTTCTGTGTGCCCCTGGCTTAATACTCAATCAAGTTTACACACATTCAGCATCAATCAAGCCTAAGCCATCACATACTGAGTATAAACAGATGGTGGAGAACATGATTTGGAAAATTTGACCCAAAATGCTGTAATTCCATCATTTCTCAACATAAAATTATTTAATTTAAAAAGTGGCTTGTGGTATTAAGGAAAGCTTTGAGCAGTGCAAAGGTGCAACCCATCTGTGTTCATCTGTTAATAACAGGATGTGTTGTGTACTTCAGACAGATACGGGACACCGTAAACTGGATTTTCTGTGAGCAGATGCTGGTGTGCTACATCAGTGTGTTCAGGGACACCTTTTGGCCTAATGGGAACCTGGCGCCGCACAGCAAGGTCCGAACCAATCCTGAGCGCAGCGAGACCAAGGAGCAGGCTCAACAGAAACTACTTGAAAATATTCCAGGTAGGGGCACATGCTAATGTGGCCTGTAGGACTTTACCTATCTCAGATATCTACAGTACAATTAACACAAAACAATGTCCACCTTTTCTTTGAAATCAGATGCACTTGCAAATCTTGTTGGCCAGCAGAATGCCCGCTTTGGTATCATCAAGATCTTTAATGCTCTACAGGAGACCAGTGCCAACAAACATCTGCTCTATGTGAGAAAAACAGAAATTCAAACACACTGTGATTTATCCAGTCACAGTTTAACTGCTACATATCATTGTCTTTGCCAGGTACTAATGGAAATGCTACTCAAAGAACTTTGTCCTGAGCTCAGGACAGCTGTGGACAACGTCTAAGCACAAAGACCAAAGCCACTTAACAACGTGGAGCCTTCTTGGTTCATCTATCTGGCCTGCATGTAGCTGAGTCATCACAGGCAGCTGGGAGAGATGGGACAGAGCTGAGACATACTCATGAAGATGACTGAGAGGAACTGTGGTCCTCGTGTAAACCTGGAAAATTAGAAGTTACATAGAGATCTAACTTCTCCTTCAGGCAGTGTTCCGACCACACATATTACATCCGGAGTAGAACAAATCGTATTTCTGAGATTGTTTGCCACACCATTTTCTTTTCCAGTGACTCAGACGTTGCAGATCATTTCTAGAGCAAATTGAAACTGAATCTCTCATGAGTTTAGGTCAAACATGAAGTGTATCAGAGTCCAAGTTCAAATGTTTTTAATGTTCCTGTGAAAGAAACGTCGTCGTTCACGGACCTCCAAACATTCCTGCACACAAACTGAGCAACAACACTTTTTCTGTCATTCTGGTTGAGGCTTATAACTGTGCAATATAATTTCATGCTACAGTCGCTGTGATGATTTTATTTAGATTACTATTGATAGATTTTATTTTTACCAAACAATGTTTAGAGAGCATTTATATGAGCAATAAATTACAATGAAAACCTGATGGATTCTTAATTTTTACTGAAACATTGTTCATCTAATTGTCATCAAATGTGATTCAAGGTTTGTTGTAACTAAATGGCCTATATTTGTATAGCGCCTTCCAAAGGTTCTAAAACACCCCAAGGCACTTCACAATGTTGCCCCCTTTGAATGAATTGCCAGACAACACGTTCTTCTTCGTACTTTTGCAACTTTTATTTACAGAAAAATGCCCCTGGTGCATAACTCGAGCATACTTTTTTTTTTCTCCCAAGGCCTAATCCAACATTTCTTCTTCTCTTAAAGGACTAGCACAACATTTTCTTTTCTGTTTAACATCAGTACGCATTATGGATAACATTTTAACTGATAACATCATAGATGAACTATATGTGTATATATATATATATATATATATATATATATATATATATATATATATATATATATATAGAGAGAGAGAGAGAGAGAGAGAGAGAGACCTATATTGTTCAACCCTTAATGAAATAAACAGAATATCTGGAACATATTTCACTGTGCTACACCCTCCTAGCCTGGCAAGCCAGACTAAATAAATGCTCCATTGACAGCTCTCGGTTGTGGGGCGGGTTCTACCGTTGTCTTTCAAATGATCTCCGCATGCTACTGGATAATGAATGTGACATTCTCACCGCAACAGCTATCGGTAAATGAGGCGGTCCGCAGTTGAAGGAGAAAACACATCATTTTTTCTAAAGAAAAGAAAAAAAAGCACACAAATACATCTATCTGCTCCTGATTCTAATGAAGCCCAAGTTCTAATAGTCCAAATTGATGTAAAAGATGTTTCAAACGAGCTGTCGCCATCTTGTTTCACTCTGTTGCATCATCCCACCCACCAGGCATATAGAGTGCCCTGATTGGCCCACAAAGCGGATAAAGCTCTGATTTGTTCACTAAGCAGATAGAGCACTATGATTGGCCCACCATTATAGACCAATCACAGCTCTTTATGTGTTTGAAACCCCTCTAGAGAGCTGTGATTGGCCAGTCAGAATGCTGTTAGAGGCTGCAGAGGTTCCAGTGGGGCGTTCCTAGAACAAACTTTGCAAAGCAAGAATTTGGTCTAGTTCACTAGGCTAACACCCTCCCCCACAGAAATAAATAAATAAATAAAATGTTGATCCAACATTTTCTTTTAGTACAATCTTTAATTATAAATCACTCCTTGGAACATCTTAGATACGTTTGAGCAATTTTCTGTCTTTAAATAACAACTTGTCATCGACTACACTTCTGATGACTACAGTACCCCGACTACAGGATTGGTAGAGAACTATTCTTTTTCCTGCTTTTTTGTATCAACTTAATATAGCGGTACATTGGTAGGCCTCCCAAGTCCATTAAGTCACGTATGGCTATAGCTACCATTCCAACTTACTCTGTGTCTTACAACACTCATGCCTTAACATGTAGCCTTCTCATATAAAGAATGACTTCAGTCACACTCATAGGCGTCATTTTAACCGGGGACGCCGGGGACATGTCCCCGGCAAAATTCGTGATTGGCAGCTGTGTCCCCCCCACTTTCAAAAAAGCCTGCTGATGAGGATTTTTTGTTTTACCAGCTCAGATCTTATACCAGGGGTCGGTAACCTGTTCCCATCAAAGAGCCATTATTACCCATTTCCCACGGTAAAGAAAACACCGCAGCAGCCGCAGCGTTGCGGGCGGGGCATACCCTCCGACAGCAGAGCGCTGCTCACAACAGGTGACAGCAGCCGGGGGCATCGCACCCGTGGGGGATTCAACACCCACACTTTTCCAGCTGTTTTGCTCACCTCCACACAGGGACGAAATTTTGATTTCAGAAGTGGGGGGGACACAGTAGGCTTGTGCGGATTTGGGGTGGGGGGTGTTATGTAAAGACCCCTTGACACGTCATGTGCCCATCTCAATAATTTTTCCATCCTCTATATATATATATATATATATATATATATATATGTATATATATATATATATATATATATATATATATATATATATATATATATATATATATATATATATATCAAAGTAAAAAAATTGTACAACTCTATTATTATTATTATTTATTGTCATTATTGAAGTGCAGTTTTGGCTGTTGACAATGGACAGGCTATTGTATTTATTGTTTTGGGTCTTTTTTTATTGTTTTTGGTGCAACATTTTCTAACAGGGAGTGAGATTCCTTTTTTATTAAATTTTTGTTTGTTATTTTTATTCATTTAGAAGTTCTGGTTCTGGACATTTCAATGTTAAATGAAGGTTTATTTGTTGCATTTTAAAGGGTGTACTTGCATTATTATGATATATTAACATTATATTAGTGGTTATTTTGGTCTAGATAATGTTGACAATGATATCGTTTATCATCAACAATTTGTTGGACAAAATATCGTCCAGCAAAATGTGTTACTTTCCCAGGCCTAGTCAAAAGTATAAAAATTATTTATACATAAACGGTCCCTCCCAATGGCGGTTTTAAACGGGGCCCACAGGGGCCTGGGCCCCTGTAGAACCGGCCCTGGCCCCTGTTATGGCCCCTGTGCTGAAGAGATCGGATTTTTTTTTTCGCGCGCTGCCTCGGAGACGGGAACTAATGCGCTGCAGCGTTTCACACGGAGCCTTTAGAGCGCAGCACACTCTGGACAGAACTGTTTACCCGGTGGATTTTTGAATAAAAGATTAAAAATAGTTTAAATGGGACCCGAAGAAGTTCTTGAGGACGCCAAACGGAAAGACGCTAAGAGACGAAGGTAAGCAATACAGTTTATTTTCCTGACATCAGTGTTTTGATCATAGTCGCGCGTTTCGGTCGTTTACTTTTAAGTTCCTAACTGAGTCTATCCACAGTTAACACTGATTTGTTTTTCCTTTGTAACATTAACTGTAAAATAAACATGAAGTTGCTGCATTTCAAGCCTTAGACACGTTGAGATTAGATCACAGTATTCATTTATCTATGACTTTCTCGCAGCACTGACTGGAAGCATCAGCGGGACGTTTTGACCTTTTTTTTTTTACCGCTGTTGATAAAGAACAGCGTAGACAGAGAGAGGATGAAAGTCACGAGGGAGCTGAGAAAGCAGGATGAAAGAGAGAAGGAGGAGTTGGTTGGAGAGGAACCAGAGAGGTCAGAGGCTGTCCACCCTGAGAGTGAGGAGGAGGAAGATGTAGGCTGTGAGGGAGAGAGTGAGGAGCAAAAAGAGGGACATCTTCTGTCATGTGCACCGTGTACACTACCGTCAGGTTTGTGGGTGTTGAACAAACCCCTCTGTGTTTGCAGCTCATATTGTGTGTAAAATGCATTTGAGGCATGCTGACTCTGGACCAACATTTCTGTTGTTTATATTTAATAAATAGATAAAATAAGACTCTGAATTAACTAATTATGACTTTTATCCTCATGCTAACATTTATTTTTTTCAGATATCAGCAAGTGCAAGGATGACCCACCTACTCAGCATCATTTGAGGACATTTCCAGTGACATTAATAGGAGACAGAAGCTTTCAGCCAAGCTGGTATGAAAGTAATCCTTGGGTTGAATATTCTGTTACTATGGACTCCACTTATTGTCATGCATGCAGACATTTTAGCTCACCAAGTAGCGCAGGAAGTGTGTTTGACTCACCATGTGGATTTAGGAACTGGAAAAAAGCAACTGAGAGAGGAGGGGTTTTCAGTACATGCAAAGTCTTAAAGGCATAAGGATTCAATGATAGCGTGGAGGGACTACCAGAGGGCTGTGAAAGCTAATACAACATTGGCTAATGTACTCGACAAGGAACACAGTAAAAGGTTAAAGAAAATCGTGAGTATATCAAAACAATTGGTGAAGTGATTATGCTTACGTGTGTGTGTGTGTGTGTGTGTGTGTGTGTGTGTTGACTACAAAAAGCAAATTGTATTGTGCAGATATTTTATTTGTTTGAATGTTTATTTTTCATATGTACAGTTTATATAATCTTCAAATAAAGTCACAAACTATAATAATCAACTAGAATTATTTTTTTTACTCAAGTCACATGTTGCGGTGAAGCATTCAGAATTGTTATCTGAGTACCATAAAAACATACCAGTTTTACTTTCACAAGTAAAACATTACTGCCAAGGGCGTCAGTTTGTTTTCAGAATTGCTGGGGACAATAACCATACACTTGAGTGGGATTTAAAAATTGCTGGGGACAATAAAGTAGGCTAGCACAGGGGTCGGCAATCCGCGGCTCTGGAGCCGCATGCGGCTCTTCCATCCATCTGATGCGGCTCTCTGTGCTTGTAAAATAATGAATGGATATTTAAATAAAATGCTTTATATTTTACTGCATTAATTTTACACCTGTATGCCAATTCTAAATGTAAAGATTGTCTGCGTAAACCTGAACAGGTCCAACCCGGTCTGCGGTGGTTGACCGGTCACGCTCCTGGATGTGTCGCTACATTGGAGACAGGAACAAGCACTATTCAGCCAAAGTTTCATAATCAGGGAACATTTTCTAAGAGACAAGTCTCTCTGAGAGACAGGGTTTGGAAAACACTCGCTTCAGTGGGAGGAATCTTCCCGCATGCGCTCTGGTTCTCTGCGTGGCTCTGGGGTTAATCAAGTTTAATTGTTTCTCTTTGCAACAATCTTCACAGGAAGGCAAAACAGTTAAACGGCAGGTTACAGATATTTCCATTTGACTGTTTATTTTGACAGATGAACTCAAGGATGTTGCTTGGTTTGAAAGAATTACCCAGACGCACACTGATGCGCATGGATGAGCTGACATTTTAATCGTTAACGCACATCGCAGAGGTAAAATATTCCCATCAGAACATCAGAGCTTTATACTGGACACTGTGTTCAGCACGGCTCGGAGCACCCACGGTGGACAGTGAGCTGAAGATCTGGGGTTCCAGCGCAGTGCAGAACCACGGCGCATGCGATAAGATTTCCTCCCACTTAAACAGTCTGGAAACCCGGTCTCTCTGAGGGATGTGTCACTTGGAAAAATGTTCTTTTTATGAAATTATGAAACTGTGGCTGAACAGCGCTTGTTCCCGTCTCTAATATGGAGATGCATGACGCATAGAGATATTTGATCACGCACGAAGTTTATGTGGAGCAGAAGCGGTCGGGCCGCGGCAGGTGAAGTGTTCCTAGCCTACATGAAGTGAAACTGTTTAATTGTAACATTAATATGTTACTGGACACGCTGGTCTGGTTGGTTAGACCAGTGTTTGAAGCGGAAAACACACACACACACACACACACACACACACACACACACACATGCACGCACGCACACACACACACACACACACACACACACAAATTAAAATAATGCTGATAGCGTGGACTAGAAGACAGGTGATGGTTTACGTATTTAAATGATGATCAGGCTGCTGTAAAATGTAATCTCCATCCACATCCAGACACAATTATCCTCTATTCTGTCTCTAGTTGCTCTGCTCTTGTCTGGGCTGATCAGCTGATGGTGCGCGCGCGCGCGCCTAACTAGCGGCTGATGCACATTTTACGCATTTGGAGAGGTGGGCTGGATGCTTTGCGTTTACTGGAAGATGGTCCACTTAACGCACGGGTGTAGACTAAATATTAATGACAAATTAATGAAAATTAAATTGTGAGTTTTTACTTCATATTTATAGATAAAAATGACGGGGGAAAACATTTATGACGTCTTTTTAAACGAAATTTTCTAGCGCGACCTGCCTGCTTCACTTAAGTCACTGCTTATTAAGGTCCGTCCAAAATTACCGTGGGAAACGGGTAATAATGGCTCTTTGATGGGAATAGGTTGCCGACCCCTGGTATAAGATCTGAGCTGGTAAAACAAAAATCCTCATCAGCAGGCGTTTTAGAAAGTGGGGGGGGGACACAGCTGCCAATCACAAATTTTGCCGGGAACATGTCCCCGGCGTCCCCGGTTAAAATGACGCCTGCATTCACTGTAATAGTTTACTTGTTCATTGTCTTTAATTATGATTTTTTTTTCTTGTGCCCCCATGAAAAAATACTGGCCCCACTGTGGCCCCCCTGGAAAATTTGGTCTAGAACCGCCCCTGGTCCCTCCTGAGATCTGGCTGTTTGTTCATTTGCTGTGTTAGAGGACATGCTGAACTAATGTTTTTCACATGATCATCACCCTAACATTTGAAGGTATAAAAACATATTAAATATTTTTTTTCCCTTAAAAGTGTTTAAACAGTTGTTGCATTTCAACACACAAAAAATTAATGGAAAAAATAAGATAAATCTAATGAAAAGTGTACATCTTTGACATTAAGCTTAAAAAATCTGTTGACGATGATGATACTGTTCATTTTTCAGAGCTTTTTAATGTGAACATATACATTGCAATAGATAAGTTTACAATAAAGTTAAATGATAAAAGTTTTGAAGTTACACTTCTACTACTACTACTACTAGTAATAATAATGATGATGATAATAGTAATAATAAAAAAAATAATTATAATACGAATAAATTGTGTCTGAGGAGTCAGTTATGTGGAGGAGATGAGTTTGTAAAAGTTAGTTTTGAGTATGTGTGTGAAGGAGGAGGTGAGTCTGAGCTTAATGCAGGGGTGTCACATGTCCAACTTACGTTTTGACTTTGAAAGAAGTCTCTTATATCCACTTTTCGTTTTCTTGACATGCTGCCTCCTGGCTGTGCCTAACTACCAAAGACTCACAAATGAACACTTATTCAAATGTTATGTAATGGAAGCTGAGCTGAGCTCTGATATTACACAGCGTCTAGTTGACGATGTGACTCAGTACCGGTGTTCCCTAGCGGCTCCAAACTAGCAAAACAACGTGAGCACGTTCTGACTGTTTCCAACTTGAGTGACAGCAGCAACAGCCAATAATACGTTAGCAAGTATCAGCAGAGCCAATAGATTAGCTTTTGGGCGGGTCTAATAGGAAACCGGTTTCCGTTTCGGTCCTAGTGCTCAACCAAATCCATTTAATGGAGCGTAACATTGTTTTTGGACGGAAAAAAGTGCAGGGGACCAAAACTGCCTTTTGAAAAAGTGGGGGGGGGACATGTCCCACCCGTCCCCCCCCAAAATTACGTCCCAGCCTCCACACCAGTCTGGTTTCTTTACTCACTCTGTTTGCCTCATCTCCTCCTTCACCTCCCAGCCGATGTCGGGTTTCCAGGAGAGCAGGAGAGGGAGGGACGGAAGAGCTCGACTGAATTCATAATTTTACATCTTGACATTAGCTGTACAAAGTCTGAGTTTGATAAAGTGAAGAACAACAATTTGCAGAGGTTTATAACTGGCGCGGCGCCAGGTTTTCATTTTTGGATGGGCCACGGTAATTTTGGACGGACCTTAATAAGCAGTGATTTAAGTGAAGCAGGCAGGTCGCGCTAGAAAATTTTGTTTAAAAAGACGTCATAAATGTGTTCCCCCGTCATTTTTATTTCTAAAATATGAAGTAAAAACTCACAATTTAATTTTCATTCATTTGTCATTAATATTTAGTCTACAACCGTGCGTTAAGTGGACCAACTTCCAGTAAAAGCAAAGCATCCAGTCCACCTCTCCAAATGCGTAAAATGTGCATCAGCCGCTAGTTAGGCGTGCCGCGCGCACTATCAGCTACGTCAGCCCAGACAAAAGCAGAGCAAACAGAGAAAGAATAGAGGATGATTGTGTCTGGATGTGGATGGAGATTACATTTTACAGCAGCCTGATCATCATTTAAATACGTAAACCATCACATGTCTTCTAGTCCACGCTATCAGCATTATTTTAATTGGTGTGTGTGTGTGTGTGTGTGTGTGTGTGTGTGTGTGTGTGTGTGTGTGTGTGTGTGTGTGTGTGTGTGTGTTTTCCACTTCAAACACTGGTCTAACCAACCAGACCAGCGTGTCCAGTAACACATTAATGTTCCAATTAAACTTGATCAACCCCAGAGCCGTGCGCACTGCACTGTACTGACTGTAAATGAGGGGGAAACTATTTAATCGGATCCTTTTCTTTTCAACATGGTTTAATGTAAAGTTTCATTCAGTACAAACTTTAGTTACACCAATCTAACGATACAGAGCCTAGATTTGTATTCTGAACAGTTTAAACATGTTTGAAACGGAGACGTGCGTGACACATCTAAAATTCGCACCTGCTCCGCTATTACGGAAATTAAACTAACAAGGTGAATAACATGAAATTATTTTAGGCACAGACAACATCCCCCACACTTTTGAAAAGCTTGCAACGTGCCTGATCGCTCATGTACGTCTTAATTATCTTTCATTAGACGATAATCAATAAAACGATTTATATAAAATGGATCCAGAAGTTGTAGCCCGTCTCTGCCTTCAATTTTTGGTATTTTTCACCCTGTTGATGGTTTTACTGAGCAGGTGCCACTTTTGTCCTACATTTCTTTTTAAAACATGTTTAGACTGTTCAGAATACAAATCCAGGCTCTGTCACGTTTGATTGTTGTAATTAAACTTTGTAGGTGGGGAAGGTCAGAAAGCAGCTCAGAAGCGCCGATATGATTACGCACAAGCGTGACGCGTCAACCCGGTCTCACAGTAAGACCGGGTTGGAACTGTTCAGGTTTACGCAGACAATCTTTACATTTAGAATTGGCTTACAGATGTAAAATTAATGCAGTAAAATATAAAGCTTTTTATTTAAATATCCATTCATTATTTCACACGCACAGAGAGCCGCATCAGATGGATGGAAGAGCCGCATGCGGTTCCAGAGCCGCCGACCCCTGTGCTAGCCTACTTTATTGTCCCCAGCAGTTTTTAAACCCCACTCAAGTGTATGGTTATTGTCCCCAGCAATTCTGAAAACAAACTGACGCCCTTGGTCACACTATCACTTTTTCCCAAAACACTCTTAAAATAAAGGTTTTTTTCTGTGTGTAGTTTCAAGTTCAACAAATTATTGTCTAATAAATGACTTGTGTTACTTTAATTGCTCTAGCCCCTCAGAAACAACAGCCCATCAACAATAGCTGACATCTGTTAACAATAACTAGTTTAACTACTATCTTAATTATTTTACACTAGGCTTTCCCAGTTCATCATTGGTAAGAATACTTTTTGGCTGACAAGTCCTTTTAGATCTTCTGACATGTCCCACATCCTCGTCATCTTCTGATGATGCCGCATCCTCTTCTGTAACCTGGGATTTTAGGGTCTGAGCCTCAGGATCCAAGTCATCACTCTGACACATCTCCTGTCCCTGTAGTTCCTCCTGTTGAGGTACAAGCTCTTCCATCTGATGATGGTTGAGGGAATCATCCTCTTCTTCCAGTGGCTGACTCTTTTCTTTTGGAGTTAGGCAGAGTGTAGGTTTGGCAACTCGGGCATCTGTGTTGTGTTGATCAATCTCCCTCTGCTCAGGCACCCATATTTCATACTCCTCTTCACTGGAACTCTCAGCGTGGCATAAGACAACCAGAGCCTTTGTCCTTGAGTTTTGAGTACCTTTCCTCATTTTCATATGATCCTGTTTTCTGTCTTTCATGTCTGAGATGTTCTTTTTCTCCACAAGATAAGGGCATGGTAACCATAAGTTCCTGTGTAGAATCCTGTCTCTTCCTCCTCGATCCAGACATTTTACCACATACACCGGACCCTCAGTTCCTCTTCTGTCTTTTACTGCATATATTTTGTCCTCCAAGCGAGGCGCTGCTCAACTCGAACAAGGCCACCACTGGTTCACTTTAAACCGGAAGTACTTCATAGCTGTCAAACGAACTCCACAAGCATCTGGGGTCCTACTCAACGACTGAGTCAACACGCAGCAACTACTGTGGCTTTAATTCTTTCTAACGGGAGATAAACAAGACTGGCATCACGACGCGGATCTCACCAGTAGCTAAGAGTAGTTCTTCAATTCTTGTCTCGTTCTCTTCACTTTGTTTTTTTAGTTGAAATGAAGCTAGCATCGTAGTTGAATTAGCTCTTAAAATGGACATTACAGCTGTTATTACTTGCGTCGTGCGAGAAATCTGGGCAGTTGTCATGCTGCGACTTTATGTGTATATATCCTGTGTTGTTGGTAAAGAAAATGACCGTTTTCTACGGGCTGTTAGCAGTTAGCTGCTAACCCTAGCCTAGCTTATCATCCAGAAGAAGGCAACGCTTTACGGTTGCCTAACAACCGGCCCTTAAAGAGACAGTAACCTAATAACCGAACAGAAGTCGTGCTTCCGAACTAAAGCTGTTTGGTGTAACTGTGTCACACAGATGGACGACGAGCTGGACGAGTTCATCAGAAGACACAAGTTGCGAGTGGCTGCAGATAAAGCCAGATTAGAAGAGCCTCCTTACCTGGAAATCAAGGTTCTACTCGGCTGTTCTCTGCTTAAACACCTAACTTTACACCTGAGCATCAAAACGTGTTTAATGGAACTAAACTGTTGTTTTAATTCAGAAATAATTGATGAATTTACACCAGTTGGAAAACCGATAAAAGTCTAATGAAGGAACAGAAAAGGGGACCGTAACAGATAATGTTTACAACTCCCTCAGACCTCTGTTTACCCGCCATTATAGATGAGAATTATGCATTAACTGATGCAATAAATGTAATCCCTAAAATTCCTTTTCACTGGGTTAAAAAGGCTTTTTTTTTTGCCAGACTGAACGCAGAAACAGCTGCAGGCAGAAAGCTCTGGAGCAACCAGTGACTCCACCCCCTCGCCATTCAGTAATCCATGGTAGCTGACATTGCGTTTTCAGCTGGGCTCTGTACTCTGGGAATCACATCGGCAATGAAGAAGGGGCAGCGACCACAGCTGGAAAGGCCATCCTACTGGACCAAACTGATTTCAGTTGTGCTGAGTTGGAAAATGGGCACAAGAGAGTCCCACCAGTACAGGTGTGATTACATCTGCAGCTCAGTGAGAAGAAGACCTGAAGGATGGCCTTGTGTCAAGAACGCCAGCAAAGGATTCACTCACCAACTGGAGAACTACCAGGGACAGGTTGATGCTCTGCTGAAGGACCAGGGATCAGACTGCTGTGGGCTGGAGGAAAGCCATCTTTTCTGATGCAGGGTTTCCCATAGGGCTGGGGGATATGGCCAAAATGTCATATCTCGATAATGTCACCATACAGCAAGTTTTCTGTTACAGTGATCCCTCGCTACTTTGTGGTTCGTTTATCGCGGATTCACGACTTCGCGGATTTTTTCTTTGGAGCCTTATTCAAGGGAAATTCGCCTATTCGCGTTATTTTTCATCGATTCGCGGTAGTTTTCTATGCGAAATATCAAGAAATTCCTGTTTTTTTAATCAATTTCATCATAAAATGCACTTTTTGTAACAAAACTATAAAAAAACCAAATAACATTTTTTTTCTATATAAAGGGAGTGTTTTAAAAGTCTGAATACTAAATACGTACCTGTTAAATAAATACTGTAAATATGGTGTCCCTACTTCGCAGATTTTCACCTATCGCGGCCAGGTCTGGAATGCATCTACCGCGATAAACGAGAGATCACTGTAATTCAATTTATGAATAGTTTATATAAAACTGCAATGTGGCAATGCAGTTTGAAATTATACACCAGACAAAGGTAATTGGAACTAAATATTAATTTTATTTAGAAGTTTTTTCCAAGAAAGACGTGTTGGTCATGTTAACCTCTGCCGATAAAATAATTCACCATGTAGCAGCAGCCAACTTCAGAAGAGTAAAGCCTCCCAGACTTCTCTTGTAGCATCATTTACGTGTAAGATGTTTTTTTGTTCTGTAGCGCAGGCAATAGAATGCACTTACCCACATTAGTAATGGTCTGTCTTCTTATTGGATATACAAAGTACCAGATCGAACACTTCTGAGGTCTAAAGAGCGTTGTGCACTGAAGTGCACCACACTTAATATAAACTTCAACGTTTAAAGTGCAGCAACAACATCAGCCTCAATCTAACAATAATACAACATCTAACAATAATAATACAGGCCTACTGGCCTTGCCCCTAAAATAAATGTTGGTTACAAAATATCACACATGGAGCTTTTCAAGTTTAAAGTGTAGCTGCAAAATGATTCCCATATTTACGAGGTCAAAAAGCACTTCAAGTAGAATGGATATGAAATCTGAGAACATCAAAAAGATTTGCTAAGTCTAAGGCTTCTAGGAATACGAGCTGGTCAACTCTAGCTGGTTTCAGTGCTGACCTCTGGCTGACACAATATTCACACTTGCACTGAAAGCCCGCTCTGATGGGGAACGTGTGGCAGCGATGCATAAATATTTCCTCGCTAGCTTGGCCACTAGGGCAAAGTGTGCCTCATTTCTTTTCCACCATTCCAGTGGTTCTGTGTCTGGACCAGCTTCCAGTAGGAGATGGAGACTTAGCTCCTTTTCAATAAACTCTCTGGTTGAATGTGAGGCCACTTGGCTTGGCTGATGCTTTAACCCTCTCAGGCTCAAAACAAGTTTTGATGAAAGGACAAACAACTAAGTCCTTCAGGGGAACTTCTGAGTTAAAAAATGCTCATGAAATACGTATGTGGAGTAACCAGGTAGGTAGGTTTTAACGTTGCAAATCTGCAACAGTTCCAATCTTGGTCGATAAAATATATCGTCAGGCTCAGATATGGATGTGTCGTTCGGCCTGACCACATATCTGTTGTTGTAGCATAAAACATCTCCTTGTGAATCTCCGCCTCCACTTTGGCATGACATGCATCATATAACTCTGGTAACACGACTTTGGTCACGTGTTTTCTGTTGGGCATTTCGTATCTCTGATCGAGTGTCTGCACCAACTCACGAAACCCACGTTTCTCCACCGTGTACACTGGAACCATATCTTTGTAGATTTGCTTGGCCAGCACAGCAGTAATCTCCTTCCATCTGCAGGAGCTATGGCTTTGTGGCGTGCCACGAGTATAAGCCTGTTGCAGTGTCAAGAGTACATTATGAGCGCTTAATTTCGCCAACTCCAACACTCGACGCAGCTTTTGCTCGTTGACTGTCCCTGTATTCTTTTTCCTGGTTTTTCCGCAGATGATAAAAAAAATTTGTGGTCTTGGAGTCGGTTGTTGGGACCGGGACGCACCAAACTTTACAAATAACTGTTCTCTAGTCCACGTCAGTCTTTTTATATCCAAACACATCCATATGACAGAAGTTGTTGCCCCACTTTTACCTACATGTGCCTCGGTTTGGGTTAGCTGGTCATCTTGACCCTGGTTGAGAACGCGTTTGCTAGGGGCATGCCGTAAAGGCATTTTTGATGTAAAATACTGCCGTAAAACTCCTAACCGTGACATAAACGATAGAGCTTCAAATGAAATGATAGACGTTTTCTATCATCCAGACTAAATATTTCGTCATATCGCACAGCCCTAGCTTCCCACAGTGCTTTATAACCCCGCCAGGCTAAGCACCCAACCCCCACGGTTGACGCACGGTAGTAAAATAACCCACATGCTTTTCGCATGTGTGATTCATTAGCAATCTGGATGTAGTAGAGTAAACATCTAGTCTGACTGCTGCTCAGAACCACCAGGTCCAGCTGTGGTAGGGTGAGGACAAACTGCTGTGAGGAGCACACAGTGGTCTCAGGGAGAGAGTAGGAAACTGTGTCCTTCATATCTGTCTCCAAATGCAGCACGGCTCACAGCCGTCTTTGGTTACTAAATTAAGGAGGAAAACACGGACTTCTCGGTGCATCTTTTGCCCTGCCCATGTGCTTGGAGACATCTGCATTCCTGAGAAGGCTGCATGAGCAAAACCTGGTTGTGCAGAAGCCAGTTGAGGCTACCAAGACTGGGCCAGGCCAGATGTGAAGACGCTATAAATATCCTCCCAGAGGAACTCCTTCAACCATCCAACAACTTGGTGATGAAGAATGTATTCTTCAGCATGATGGAGGACCGGGACAGAAGGATAAAGTCGGAACCAAATGGATCAGGACCAGAACATCATGTTGGATCCAGGTCCAGGAGATCTGGTGGTCCATCCTCCAGAGTCAAGAGGATAAAGACAAATCCAACATTGATGATGAAGAAGAGCTCCCATCAGTGAGAATCTGGAGGTCAGGGTGGACTACAGAGGTCTAGAAGGACCAACACTGGAGATACTGACTCTTTACACAAACATAATGTAACTGTCAGTAAGCTTGATACCAATGAAGTACTTGTAGTTTTTCTTTGGTAACTATAGAAACGCTTAATATAAAATACCTAAAAACACTGAAGCAGCACACTTTGTGAAAACCAACTTTTCTAAACATTTGAACATAGCTGTACATCCAGTTATTATTAATAACAACTTTATTCATACGTCTGCTGCCTCTTTTTCTGTTTAACTGTTCACTTGTCATAAAAACCGTCTGAACCAATTGTTGGATTTTATCATACTTTTGGATTTCAGTGCAGTTTTTAATTCATTGGTCTGTTTGTGTTTGTTCCCTGACAGGTACGACACTGCAGAGGCTACGGTTCCACTAGTAAGGAGAACATCCCACCTACATTTACTGCTCCAGGAAAAGGTTCGTATCAGGAGTCACGTCCTTTTCTATGTTAATAATGCAAATATGCATTTTCACCAGTCAGTTAGCTCTCTACATTTGTTAAAAATGTTATCTGTCGTGTCTTGTTTTGGGTCAGAACCTTTTTCACCACAGGTCTGTTAATGATGGTGTTTTTGGACAGATGAGAGTTGTAATGTGGGCTTACCTCTCGGTCTGGAGTATGAGAAGAAGAAACAGAGGCTGCAGCATGAGCTAAAGATGGACTACAGGTGCTACATGGCTCAGGTGACTACACACACACACACACACACACACATGCACACACGCACGCACGCACGCACGCACGCACGCACGCACGCACACACACACACACACACACTGAGCTTCATGCCTGAGAAGACACTTTCTTTTTTTATTTTTTTTATATTTTCATTTTATTGAAAGTTTTGTTAAGGTACATAAAACATACAACAAATGGCACAGTGGAACCATCGGGTCCGCCCTGTTCCGGGAGAGCCATCTCTGGTTTTGTCCATATATCGGGGTCCATGTAGCCCTTAATGTTCCGCCTCTGATGATGTTCTGAAGGGGTGTTTCCAGTCCATTATGAAGTGTTCGTATCCACAACAGGCCCTTCCACTTCCAGTAAACATATGGGAGTAGGCTAAACCTTAGTTATACAACCTGCCCTCCATCATTGCGTGGTATTGCTGTTAGTAAATCTCTCCCATTTCTCCCAATTCTTATGAAAACAATCTAATTTAAGGTTCAAAAAGGCTGTCAGTTTTTCCATCTTATATAGTTCCTCGACTATTCCCTGCCAGTCTTTCCTTGTTGGGGCATTCTTCTCTAGCCATTTCCTGGTAAGCGCTTTTTTGCCTGTTGCCAGCATGATATTCATTAAATATTTGTCTCTTGTGGGGACTACTGATGGAATATCACCCAAATAAACAGTACAGAAATCCTTAACTACCTCACAACCCGTCACGACTGTGATTGTGTCGACCATCTCCCTCCAATATGGCTGAATTACCGTGCATTTCCAAAAAATATGGAAGTGGTCTGCCATGTTTTCCCCACATTGTCTCCAGCAATGTCCTTCTCTCTGTTGGCCTCTCTGTTTGCAGTTTATTTTAGGGGTTATAAAGAACCTGGTAAAATTTTTCCAAGTGAATTCCCTCTAGTAACCCAAACTGGTAGTTTTCCTCTGTGTTTCACATATAGTTGCCCAACTTTCATCTGATATGGTGACTTGTGCTTCCCTTTCCCATTTAATTTTAATATAATCAGTTGATTGGTCTTTGAGTGATTGTAGTTTCCGATAAAGTTTAGTAATTTGTTTGTTTTTAATCTTTCTTTGATATGCCTCTTTTATAAGGGAGACTAGGCCGTCCCTCTGTTCTTCCGTGTTTGTTACTGTTGAAATAAGACCTGACTTAGAGATATCTAAAAAAAATGCAGGTCTTCCAGACCATATGTGACCCTTAATTTGTCAAAACTATGTAGTCCATCCCTCCCTGCTATTGAGCAAAATGGTCAGATCCCTTTTGTCGAACATGCCGCATAGCGGCCATCTATTTGTGCCGGGGAGAATTCCCTATCGCTTGTGACCCATCTAAGTTGTTTTTTGTTGGTGTCTGATTCATGTTTCTCACATTCGTCAAACCATATCTTTAAAGGCGTTTTAGTCCATTCATTTAACTCTTTTTTTTCTTTTCCAGATACAGTTTATCCCCTAATATTGTCTGTAGTGGTAATTTTAATTGTGTCATATCTACATTTTTCCATTTTGCCACATACAATGGATCACACCAATAGAGTAAATATCTTAATTGTGCTGCTTTAAAATAACTTTCTAAGTTTGGGAGGGAAAGTCCACCCTTCTCCCTAGGCAGTTGTAGTGTTGTGTATTTAACTCTCGGTTTGCGGCCCTTCCATATAAATCCCGAGAGCATTCTGTTCCATAGTGCAAATTGTTTGGCTTGTATATGTACCGGTATAGATTGAAAGAGGAAAAGTAGTCGAGGCAATATATTCATTTTGATCATGTCGATTCTATTATATAAATCAAGTGGCAGTATGTTCCATCTTTGGATGTTTTCTTTTAGCTCCCTTGTAATTGGTGAGTAATTTATTTCATAGATGTCTGTCAGTATTTTGGAGATCTTAATACCGAGATATGTAATTTGGATATGTTTTTGATCCTTGCCGTAGGTGTGTAATTTTATGTAATCACTTGAGTTTTTTGGATGTTTATTTTATATCCAGAGAGTTCTCCGAACATTTCCATCTTTGTCAATAGGTTGGGCAGACTTTTCTGGGTCCGCGAGTCAGCAGAACATCGTCTGCATAGAGACCTATCTTGTATTCCGTCCTCCCTATCCTCATCCCCCTAATTTGGTCGTCCTCCCTAATGGCTTGTGCTAGTGGTTCGATAAATAAGCCGAATAATGCTGGGCTGAGCGGGCATCCCTGCCGACAACCTCTTTCCAGACCTACCGCTTCAGTTAAACCCCCATTTATTTTTATGCTCGCTGAGGGTTGATAGTATAGGTTCCTAATCATCTGAATGAAAGAGTCTACGAAACCAAATCGTTCCATAGCCAGAAAAAGGTATTCCCATCTAAGAGAATCAAAGGCTTTTTCTGCATCCAGGCTCAGGGCAACTGACTCGCTCGGGGTTTTATTCATATAATCTAATATATGTAGAGCTCGTCTTATGCTGTCTTGAATCTGTCTGTTCTTGAGAAATCCTGTCTGATCCTCATCAATAATTTCAGGTAGTATATTTTTGAGTCTGTCTGCTATTATCGAAGTGAATAATCTATAATCCATATTTAGGATTGAAATTGGTCGGTATGAGCTGTAGTGCCTTCTGTCCTTGCCCCCCTTCGGGATTACTGAAAGTATTGCCTGTCTCCAGGATGGTGGTGCCTCCCCTCCCTCTAACACATAGTTGAAACATTTCAATAATAGTGGCAAGAGCAGATCTCTAAAGATTTTGTAATATTCTGATGTATAACCATCTGTACCCGGCATTTTATTCGTTTTTGTCTTTGCAGTGGCTTTTTCCAGTTCTTATTTAGTAATCCGTTGCGTTAGTTTTTTATTTTGTTCTTTCCCAATGTTAGGTAGGCCCAAAGAATGCAAAAATTTCTTAATATGTAGAGGGTCGACCTCTCGGGTCTGCGAGTATAGTGTTTTGTAATAGTTTACAAATGAGTTTTGTATTTCTTTAGCAGTATAACACAGCATTTGAGTCTCTTCATCTTTAATACAATAAATTCCTCTTTCTTCTTCCTGTTTTTTATTCTCCAAGCCAATAATGTCTTTGCCCTAGGGCCATAATCATAGTATTTTTGATTGACAAATCTAGCTTTTAATTCCTCTTGTCTGTCATATATATAATTTAATTCCCGTGTTGTTAAATTAATCTCTTCCAATAGTCGGAGGTCCTTAACGGTGGCGTGCTTAGTCTCTAAGTTCTTTGATTTGGCTAGTAACTCATTCATTTGTTTATGTTTCTCTTTCTTTTTGTTCGAGGGCCACATGATCAATTTTCCTCTTATTAGAGATACCTCTTTATTATCATTTAGTTCACAATAGCTTTTGTACTCGTCATTTATGAATTGTATACATTGGGGATCATTTAACAAGCTTGTGTTCAACTTCCAGCTAGTTTGTTTTATTTCAGTCTCTAGATGTATAGATAGGTAGATCCCTGCATGGTCTGATTTATCTCTTACTCCTATTTTACATCTGAGGATTCTATGTCTATCGGTGTTAGTCATAAAGAAATAATCCAACCTGGAGTACTTTCTATGGGGAAATGAGAAAAAATTGTAGCTTCTTCCTTGGGATGCAGCTCCCTCCAGACATCCATCGTGTTTCCTTTTTGAAGAAGTTTTTTAACTGTTTTTGTTTCCGGATTCGTCCTTTTAGTCTTATTGTTGGTGTCTAAATGGGGCTGTAGTTGTACGTTCCAATCCCCCCCACAGATTAGGGTTCCTTTGGTGTGTTCCGCAATCAGATTAAATAATCTCTTAATAAATTCCTGATCATTGCCTGGCGGCTTGTCAACATTTAGTAGAGTCACTGGTTTATGATCAATTTGCCCCACTACCATAACATATCGCCCTTTTCTGTCCCCTATTTGTTCAGTTAACTGAAAGTTAGTTTTATTTCCAATCAATATTGCCACTCCCCTTGCATGTCTCTGTCCAAATGATGAGTAGTATATATGTTTGAACCCCAGACGTTTTAATTGCTCATGTTCCTTATTGTTTAGGTGGGTCTCCTGCCAAAAACTATGTCTTGTTTTTCCCTTCTCATCTTAGTTGCCACCTTTTTCCTCTTAATGGGGTTATGGAGCCCGTTGACGTTTAATGATACAATGTTATATTCCTGAAATGGCATGGTGTTCTCTTAAAACAACATTTAAAAAATAGGCTCTCCCTGCACTGATCAACCCGACCCGTAAAAAAACAAACAAACAACAACCTGTGCCATAACGAACAACAACTGAACATACATTTGAACATGACTTCAAGAAAGAAGTAGAAAATTCACTTCTAAGACTATGAGGGGAATTCTCTCTGTAGAGGGCCCCTCAAGGGAGTGTGATGTCTCCTCTGGTACCATCCTGACCCCCTGTAGGTGGTGACAATGCACTCTCTTCTTCTCAGTCCAGCCGTCCGATTATTAAATTTCGTCAAACCACCGCTGTCTGCTGATACGTGAACACGATTATAATCCTAATCTGCATCTTAATATTAAACATTATTTATCTTCACTCCCTCAAACAGTTTTTCTTTGCCTATGTTAATCAACCTTAAACGGAATGTTTACTCACAACCTCTTAACCAGTTTCAGTCTCTCAGTTGGGATGGGTGGTGAAACGTGTAAGTTTTTCCCGAGCCCCCTGAACATCCACGACTCTTCCCCGTCCTCGGTCTCGTCCGCTGACCGTCCACGAGTTGTCTTTTGGCCTTGCTTGAGTCCTGTTCGTCCCTTGAGCTGGTCCCCTGCTGGACGGTTCTCCAGATCTCTCATCTTCTCCTCTTTTCAGCAGGCCCTTCCTCTGTAGAGCTAGCTTTGCTGATGTCACATTCGTGTAGGTAACTGGACCATCTTTGTAGAAGACTCAGAGCCTTGCTGGGGCGGGTGTCTGGAATCTAATGCCCTTTTCTTTTAGTATTTTCCGTAACGGGGCATATTCTTTTCGTTTCTGGATGATTTCTGTTGGGTATTCGTGTTCCATGTAAATCTGATGTCCTTCTATTCGTATATCTTTCTTCAACCATGCCTTCTTCAGCACTTGCTCTTCAATGTTATATTCAAGGAAACATACAATCATGGATCTGGGGGGCACGTGTGTAGGAGGCTTCTGACCGAGTGATCTGTGGCATCGTTGTATCCCCAACTCTGCGTTCTGCATACCTAGTTCAGTCTTTAAGAGCTTCTCCACATATTCAGTCGGGTTGTTAGCTTCCTGGTCCTCTGGTATTCCAAATATACAAAGGTTGTTCCTCCGTGACCGGGTCTCCAGATCGGTTAGCTTGGCCAGCATTCGCTGTTGTTCCTCTACGGTCTGAAGGAGCACCTCCTTAACATTAGCGCTCCACTCTTCCACCTCTTTCACTCTTTGCTCCATTTCTTCCACTCTTGTCTCCGCGCTTTTGAAGTTGGCCCCCACCGCATCCATCTTCTTATTCATCTCGTCTTTAAAACTCCCCAGCTCTTGCTTCTTGTCGACTCTCATCGTCTCCCAAGCTTCGCTGAAGTGTTTTTTCATATCTGCGTGGCTAGCCATGATTTCCTCTCGGATAGCCTCCATGCTAGCTTGGAGCGTGGCCATCGTGTTTTGGGCATCTTCATTCCCTTCCCTCGTCGCCATTCCTTCGTTCTCTTCATCGGTTTTCCTTTCTGTGGTTTGTATCTTTGTAGTTTTGTATTTCCCCATAAATATTTATCGAAGTCTGATGTTATCCGTAGTTGAAAAAATAGGGAAATGCTGGACCCTCGCTGAGCTCCTGGCTATGCTTCCACTTGCTTCACCGCCATACCCGGAAGCTCTATGTTTTTCCTGAGAAGACACTTTCATAGGGAAAGCAGCAACTCAGGAGGTAGAGCTGGTTGTCCAGTAATCGGAAGGTTGTAGGTTCAATCCCGGCTTCGACCAGAGAATGCTATCATTGTGTCCTTGGGCAAGACACATAACCGATCTTGTCTGCTGGTGGTGGTCGGAGGCACTGGTGGCGCCTGTGCTCGGCAGCCTCGCCTCTGTCAGTCTCAGTAAATTTCAAGAAAAAGAAAATACAGTAAGCTGCCCCTTTGAACATGTGAACTTCGCAATCCAAGTAAATAACTCAGCTATTGCCTCCATTATGGCGTTCAAATCTGTTGTCACTCCTGCTTTAGCAGGGGCAGCTTTATCCATCTTACCTCCACGTTGTCCATCTGTCCCTTAGCATTGTTGGCTTTTGTCGCTTGTCTTGAGATTTTGGCATATTTACTTGCGGATTGTGGCACATAGTTAATGTTTTCCCTCTCTATATTTTTCCTATCGCACTGATACATTAGCTCTTCAAATTGAGAGGACTTTAGATGAATGTCTCGGTGCAAAAACTTTTTGTGCATCCTATCCTTGCATAGTCAAACCAGAAGTTTAATTTTAACTGAACAATTTTATCATAAAAGCCAATGTTTTATACAGGAAACTCATGAAAATTAACAAGGCTGCCCAAACTTTCACACCCTACTATATCTCAACATGCTGTGGCAAAAACATGTTTAACACCAAACCAGCCTAAATCCAGGGTTCACTGCTGTACCTTAGACCAGTGACTTCTCCTGCTAATTCTAAACGCTACCATGATGATTATTTTCCTGCAGGTGGATGATATTCCCAAACAAAGATCTGTGCTGCAGAGGAATGTAACCAGTCCAACAGAAGATGAGGATGACCAAGGGTTTACACCAGTTCTCTCCGAACACTGGAACCATCAAAGTAGACTTACGAAGCAGGATTCAGATGATGAGGAGCACTACAATGATGAACTGGAGCAGACTGAAAGCGAAAGGCACTTGCTGCTGGAAACTGATCCCAGGTGTAAGAAGAACCAGGAAGCTAGAAATGATGGAAGGTAAAATCAGGCCTTTTCCTGTTTTTTTGTACTTAGAAAAGAAGTGATTTTGTTTTCTCTGTTCAGTTCTCATTTCAGTCTGTTTAATTTTGCCTTTTTCAGGGGCAAAATGGAAAGTTTAGGTGTTGGAGGAGAAGACAGGAGATGGAGAGAACTGAGCAAAAACGAAAATGCAAATGAAAAGCTTACCATGGGTCTTGTTATAGGTAATGAATAAATTAACTGTTACTACAATCTAATCCAGTATCCAACCTGGGGTTCACGAACCCCCAAGATGGTCACTAGAGATCTCAGTGGATCTGCACACTTAGACAAATCTAATCACATCTGTAAAGGCAAATGAGTGTGACACTGGGTGGTAGCCTCGCCCTCCACTTGCAAGCATCCAGCATCACCACCATTCCTCGGTTCATACGCTTGCTGATAACACATAAGTACAGTGAAACAACTATTAGCTATGTTATTGAAAAGTTAGCATAACTGCTCGCTGATGTGGATTCTACTGCCTTCCGATCAGCATCAACCATAATGCGCAGTCTTTTCCTGGCTCTTTTAGCTTTCTGCCGCCGGGCTCTTTTCGCTTCTGCTGCTCCGCTCTGCTGTCCCATGCTCAATCGGCATGTGAACTTCCTCTGTGTCCTGGTGAATGCTGCAAAATTGCAGCAGGGCCCCATGCTCCAAGTCGGCTCCTGCGGCTTTGCACGGTTCCGGCGAGGACGGTGTTACTAGTGCCCCTGCCTCAACTCTCAACCATCAAGAGGACACTTCTTTTCTTCCTCTTTGCTGATGAGCGGTGGAGAAAATTGGAAGTGGATTGGCCCACTCCTATGCCAAAATGAGGTCCTGTTTTTCAGTTTTTTTACGTCTCCACAGAACCAGCTGAGGTTAAAAATGTACCACCACCTTTCTCTTACTTCATGGATGAGTTTGCGTTGTTCTGGGGGAAGCCACTGTCCACCTGCACTGTGGTGTTGGACTATGGACAGTTTGTGGACCATTCCCTATGTGGACCTTTCCCTATAGAGCCCTCACTGGCAGCCTACTTGGCCCTGACCGGTAACAATGTGGTGGGTGTACCTGATGATTTACCCTCTAAGCAGTGCAGGTTTTCTGTCGGCGCAGTTGGATGGGTTTTATCCAGGCCCAGACCACCTCCGCTTTTGCACTCAGCTCTGCCACCATGTTGCAGACCTGCTTGGCGATGTGTTTGGCGGACCTTGGAGCACTGTTCCCACCCAGCTGCCCGCTAACCCATTTAGTCAATTATGTGTGGCTGTTTTAAGTTGGCTGCAAAACTGCGGCTGTCCACTGTTTACAGACATGGAACTGTAAAAGGGTGTCATAAACACAGTGCAGAGTCCTCCTGCTCTGCTAGAGGGCAACGGCGCCATCACGACAGCATTGATCAGCTATCTTACTGCAACCCGTTCTCTAACATGCATGTGCTTTGTCCCTTTGGGTTGAGCGCATGGTCGCCATGGGTTGCCTGTTACAATTCCGGCTGTTCCTGTGCTTTGCATTCAAAGGGCAAACTTACGAGTATTTGGTTTTATCTTTCAGACTAGCCCTAGCACCCCTCACCTTTTTTCAAATGTGTGGAAGGTGCATTACCACCTCTCAGAAAGAGTGGTATCCTCATTCTTGTCTACGTGGACAATTGGGCTCTGGTAGCGAGTTCTCGGGTGCAGGCGGAGTCTCACGTTTTCCAGGTTCTTTCTCATAGTTAAGCCTGGGTTTCCCCGTAAATTACAAGAAGAGCTTCCTAGTTCCCAGCAAGAGGGTTTCCTTCCTTGGACTAGAAATATGTTCTCAGTCGGGCAGAGCGCACCTCCTGGATCACCGGATAGCTGCGTTCCACAGCCACATGACCCACTTCCAACTGGGAGCCAAACTAACACCTCGCACAGCTTTACAGCTGGTGAGCATGATGGCTTCCTTTATTGCCACCCAAACCTCGTGACCATGGGTGAGGGTAGGAACGTAGATCGACCGGTAAATCGAGAGCCTTCCGACTCAGCTCTCTCTTCACCACGACTGATCGGTACAACGCCTGCATCACTGAAGATGCAGCATCAATCTGCCTATCGATCTCTCGCTCCAGCTTTCCCTCACTTGTGAACAAGACAGAATCAGAATCAGAATGAATTTTATTGCCAGCGATCCAGAGCATAGGAACTTGACTCCACAGTACAACCTGACAAAGGTTACACACACACATATAGACAGGACAGATACAGGCAGACCACGGGAGCAGCCATGACGGCGCTCCTTTTAGTGGATGAAGAGGGGAATACATGAGGAGAGTTCAGGGGAGGGAGAAAAAGGCATTAACAGGGTTACACCGGCAGGGTGTAGCTCTCCAATGCAAAAAAACACCCAACATGTAAGCACGAACATCACAGTTCACAACATGAGACCCGGTAGGTAGGGGGGAGGGGCTGGGACCCCAAGATACTTAAATTCCTCCACTTGGGGCAGGACATCATCCCTGACCCGTAGAAGGCATTCTACCCTTTTCCTAATCAAGACCATGGTCTCGGATTTAGAGGAGCTGAATCTCATCCCAGCCGCTTCCCATTCAGCTGCTAACCACTCCAGTGAAAGCTAAACCTGAGTGTTAAAAAGGAGTGTTTCCTAATCAACTCTAAGTGTCATTTTGGACAAAATAACTCCAGAAAACTAACTCTGTACTCCCACAGTGGCTATAACACCTGCAGAGTTAATTTCGAGACTCAACCCCTTTATTCTAAAAGTGTGACCATAGACATTTATATATTTTAATTATGTACGTATAAATGGTGGTAGTGACCGAATGGCTGCAGAGATATAAGAAGCTCTACCAGAAACTTTGTTAACGGCTTTGCTCTTTGTCTACATATTGTAATGACCCTGCCCACTGCAGGAGCTGCAGTGTGTGACGTGCATTGTGGGCAGTCATGTTTTTAGTTCATTTGGTCTATTTTCTGGTGTTAATGCATGTTTGTTTTGAGGGATTTGTGTTGTTCTTAGTTAATACTTTGTTCACTGTTGCAAATGTTGTGTTACTAGCATCAGGCTGGTACTGTGAGTGAAGAGGTTGTTCAAAGGAATCAGACACCTGTGCCATTCTGCTGTTACAAAAAAAAAGTGGTGCATGAGTCACACTTCATGCTCAGGACTCCGGTCCTTGTGTTTTTCTTACTGGCTGTCTGTAGTTACGAGGTGTAAGAGGAACGAGTTAGCTGGTGTTTTTGAGTGTGGCTAGTAGCTTCCTGGCATGAAACACTGGTAAGAGTTAAAATTTCATTAATTCATTGAGTTGTTTTATAACCGAACTTGACTTGGATAGTGACCAAAAGAATAAGATTGCAGATACAAGTGGCCAAAGTGAGTTTTCTTTGTGTCTGGGCTCTCCCTTAGAGATAGGGTGAGAAGCTTGGCCATCTAAGAGGGGCTCGGAGTAGACCCGTTGCTTCTCCACGTCAAGAGTAGCCAGTTGAAGTTGCTCGGGCATCTGGTCAGAATGCCTCCTGGACACCCCTCTGGTGAGGTTTTCCAGGCAAGTCCAACTGAGAGGAGACCCAAGGAAAGACCCAGGACACGGTGGAGGGACTGTCTCGCAGCTGTCCAGGTATCGCCTTGGGACCCCGGAAGGAGCTGGCCCAAATAGCTGAGGAGAGGGAAGTCTGTTCCTCTCGGCTTAGGCTGCTGCCCCTGTGACCTGACTTCAAATAGGCGGCTGAAAATGGATGGATGGATGGAAAAACATATTTGTCCCTTCAACACAAGTTAAGACTAAATCCAAAGGAAATTTAGATTTTCCATCTTCCAACCAGCATTGAAATGCACCATGTACACACAAATCAGTTAGGCGATTTTGTGTTTTGTCTGTGAGTACCAGGTGATTTGTTTGTGTATTCAATGATTTGTATGTGTAGGAGCTGAAGTTGCACACAAAAAAGTCAAGGGTTACACATTCATAGATCTGTCTACACGCACACAAATCTTGTTACGCACACAGAAATCTAGATACACACACACACCGATGTTTTGAGACTTTCTTTCTCCCTAGAGAACGTGAACATAAACTCAACACTACAGTTCCATTTTTGCTAATAATAAGTTGTAATAAATCAGTTTTGATATGTGAATGCTGGTAGTAGTTGGGGTTTGAGGCCATGCTTGCCTTAAATACAGGCATGGGGTCCTCATGGAAGAATGTTGGTTGGTTATGGTCATTTAAGTTATTGTAATGTGATTATGAAAGAAACACCTTTAAATATATATTTTAACCATTTTACAAATATATTCAAACTCTTAAGTACATGAAAAGTTTTTCAAACAATAAAGGAGGTTAACTATCGAACAAATGTCATTTAACATATATATATATACTCTTACATTTATTTTCAGGAGCAGCTGATACTGACGAGGTTTTACAGAGGAAGAAAGAGCGCTACAGACAGGAGCTTAAGGAGCAGATCGCTGAACAGCATCGTAACAAGAAGAGGTATGTCTGATGTAGGTCTCTCTGACTCCATCAACAACTCTACAATCAAGGATGAACCAGGCCACAAATAAAATACAGCTTCGACACACATTTCATCACTGATTTCTATTCATAAATAATATTTTAGCTTTTACAGCATTTATAACTAAGAATTTTTATTTTTTCTGTTTTATTTCAGTGTTCAGCATGCTTTCTTGCCATTTTTGCAAGAAAATGTGACATTTCCAGGCCATTAGGAACTTGTTTTGTACAAGGTCTTCAAGACAACAACATAATCTAAACTAGTTGAATTGCATTTCTTGCAGAAATGCTGTTTGAATGCTGAATTCTGAAACAGATAGCTGAAGCTGCTGAATAGCTGAAGTGAAGCTCAAACTAAATTGTCAAAATGAACTGATAGTATTTGAAGATTAAGATGCAAAAATCACTAACAAATGTAGTAAAGCACAAAAGTTGGTGAAGAATAGAGAATAAAATCCTAAACAGGAGAAAACTGAAATCCCCGAACATTGTTTAAAAAACTGGGCAGCTGAAATGTTTAAACAAATGGTATTTGTTTAGGAGTAGTTTAATATATATATATATATGTATATATATATATATATATATATATATATATATATATATATATGTATGTATATGTATGTATATATATATGTATATATGTATATATATATATGTATATATGTATATATGTATATATGTATATATATATATGTATATATGTATATATATATGTATATATATATATATATATATGTATATATATATATATATATATATATATATATATATATATGTATATATATATATGTATATATATATATATGTATATATATATATATTTCATATATATATGTATATATATATATATATATGTATATATATATATATATGTATATATATATATATATATATGTATATATATATATATGTATATGTATATATATATATATATATGTATATATATATATGTATATATATATATGTATATACAGGTGCTGGCCAGTAAATTAGAATATCATCAAAAGGTTGAAAATATTTCAGTAATTCCATTGAAAACGTGAAACTTGTACATTATATTCATGCAATGCACACAGACCAATGTATTTCCGATGTTTATTACGTTTAATTTTGATATTTATAGGTGACAACCAATGAAAACATCAAATCTGGTATCTCAGAAAATTAGAATATTCTAAAGGCCAATGAAAAAATGTTTGTTTCTCTAATGTTGGCCAACTGAAAAGAATGAACATGAAAAGAATGTGCATGTATAGCACTCAATACTTAGTCGGGGCTCCTTTTGCCTCAATAACTGCAGTAATGCGGCGTGGCATGGACTCGATCAGTCTGTGGCACTGCTCAGGTGTTATGAGAGCCCAGGTTGCTCTGATAGTCGTCTTCAGCTCCTCTGCATTGTTGGGTCTAGCGTATTGCATCCTCCGCTTCACAATACCCCATAGATTTTCTATGGGGTTAAGGTCAGGCGAGTTTGCTGGCCAATCAAGGACAGGGATACCATGGTCCTTGAACCAGGTGCTGGTGGTTTTGGCACTGTGTGCAGGTGCCAAGTCCTGTTGAAAGGTGAAGTCTGCATCCCCATAAAGTTGGTCAGCAGCAGGAAGCATGAAGTGCTCTAAAACTTCCTGGTAGACGGCTGCATTGACCCTGGACCTCAGGAAACAGAGTGGGCCAACACCGGCAGATGACATGGCACCCCACACCATCACTGACGGTGGAAACTTTACACTGGACCTCATGCAACGTGGATTCTGTGCTTCTCCGCTCTTCCTCCAGACTCTGGGTCCTTGATTTCCAAAGGAAATGCAGAACTTGCTTTCATCAGAAAACATAACTTTGGACCACTCAGCATCAGTCCAGTCCTTTTTGTCCTTGGCCCAGGCGAGACGCTTCTTGCGCTGTTTCTTGTTCAAGAGTGGCTTGACACACGGAATGCGACACCTGAATCCCATGTCTTTCATGAGTCTCCTCGTGGTGGTTCTTGAAGCGCTGACTCCAGCTGCAGTCCACTCTTTGTGGATCTCCCCCACATTTTTGAATGGGTTTGTCGTCACAATTCTCTGCAGGGTGCGGTTATCCCTAGAGCTTGTACACTTTTTTCTACCACATTTTTTCCGTCCCTTCGCCTGTCTGTTAATGTGCTTGGACACAGAGCTCTGCGAACAGCCAGCTTCTTTAGCAATCACCTTTTGTGTCTTGCCCTCCGTGTGCAAGGTGTCAATGATTGTCTTTTGGACAGCTGTTAAGTCAGAAGTCTTCCCCATGATTGTGGTGCCTTCAAAACAAGACTGAGGGACCTTTTAAAGGCCTTTGCAGGTGTTTTGAGTAAATCAGCTGATTAGAGTGGCAGCAGGTGTCTTCTATATTCAGCCTTTTCAGAATATTCTAATTTTTTGAGATACCAAATTTGGAGTTTTCATTAGTTGTCACTTATGAATATCAAATTTAAATGTAATGAACATTGGAAATACATTGGTCTGTGTGCATTGCATGAATATAATGTACAAGTTTCACGTTTTGAATGGAATTACTGAAATATTTTCAACCTTTTGATGATATTCTAATTTACTGGCCAGCACCTGTATATGTATATATATATATATGTATATATATATATATATATATATATATATATATATATATATGTATATGTATATATATATATATGTATATGTATATATATATATGTATATGTATATATATATATATATATATATATATATATATATGTATACGTATATATATGCATATATACATATATATATATATATATATATATATATATATATATACACCAGGAACTCGTAGATTAGCTCGATACGACCCGTCTAGTCTTAAGATATCTCCAGGTCACGACAGGAAGCTGGAATGCTCGTTTGTGTCTAAGGCTGTTTGCTTGGCTCTTTGAAGAGCCGTTTTGTCTGATATCACCCACAGCGTTGCAGTGAGGCTTTTGACTTGAGGTCAAAGGAGAAGATGGTTTCAAAATGCCTTTTCCTGAATTGGCCAGTTCGAGAGTCAGCTAGAAACTGAATTAATCGAGAAGTAATTCCTGTTTGCTTATAAATTTGGCAAATCAGAATTTGACACGTTTGAGGGCATTACCAAAATATACCTCAGAAGTCACTCCTTCATTCAGATCCTCGGGGAGGCTAACTCTTTGTGTGAATGAGAATGTTTTAAACACTTATGTGAAGTGGATGTTAACATTAATAATTATCTTATTACATTTGTGTATGAGCATAGCTATTGATTAAAGCACAGATTATTCAAACATTTGATTTAACATCTTGTTCATTCAACACATTTGATTATTTCCACTTATAAGTGTTAAAGTCATGTAGGAACTTTGAGGTGGGTGCACTTTATTCAGAGTGAGGATGCAGCAGTCTGGCTTCTGCATGAGGCCTTGAGCAAAGATGTACAGATGGTGTTTTTGTGTCTGCAAGTGAAAGGTTACTTTCTGGTCATATTATGTGGACTTCCTGATAGTAATGAATTACAGTAATCCAGTCTTGAGGTAATAAATGCATGCACTACTTTTTCAGTAAAGTCTTTCAGATCAGCTGATCAGTGGGTCTGACTGAAATGCTCACAGGCAGCACAGAGAGATTGAAGCTTATGTCAGACTCGACCTTCCTAATAAATAGGAGAAACTGCTGAAACTGCAGAGGGAAGTTTGTTTTAACTAAATCACAGGAGACGTCCAAAGAGTTTGGAAGCCTGTGTGTTAATCATCTATTAAAAAACAGACAGCATTTAAGAGAATTAGCATTAATGAGCTCTTACACAGATAAGACTTTACTGTCACCTACCATTATTTACTGACATTGTTTTTCTGCTCAACATCTGACTCCGTAAACCCAAACCAGGTCCATATAATCGATGTTGCCCCATGTTCGTTACCATCACCTCCACCCGCTCCATGCTGCAGCTGCTGGTTTTGTCCTAAGTAAATGCAGCTTGACAGCATTAATTTGCAATCACAGTTGGCTGGTAGAGTAAATTACTACCGGTGGCTAAATTAATTTTAAATTTACCGTATGTACACTGTGAGTTACTAGCAGGCACTAAACTTCTTTACCACTATTGCCCTCTTGTGTGTTTTACACACATGTCCACAGATTACAACTTTTCTCTCTGTGTGAAATGTGCATTTTTTTCTATCCTCTGACACACATTTGTGTTGATGCAGGGAAAAAGACTTGGAGCTGAAAGTTGCTGCAACTGGAACAACTGATCCAGAGAAGCAGGTATGCAGGTATTTGACTCACTTGTATGTGTGTATAGCCTTCATTTAGTTTTCTTGTTAACTGCTGTTTTTTTGTGTGTACAATGCAGCCGGAACGGATTCTGCAGTTTGGACTGAACAGAGGAAAGGGCCCATTGTGTTTGAAGCCATTTGATGAGACTGACTCATTGTCTAGACCTTTACCCTCTAATGAGAAGACTGTTAGTGGTTGGGAAGGACCTTGTCCTGAGCATCCACATGTGGCCTTCCAGTCCCCGCTACTGGAGTACAGCTCAGTCCTTGGTCTGGGGGAAGACGGTCCATCTCCTAACCGCCATCCAGTCTCTCGGTATGTTATGTCGACCATAAATGCACCCATGTGTTCATCAGATATAAATGTAATGTTCCTAAAGAAAACTCCAACACATCTTGATGGTATAGAATCATTGGGTTTCATTGGCGATCACCCCAACATTTCTACGTAATCTCGGAAGTACTATCTCCCTGCTAGAGCTGTTTTCTTTGTTGATTTTGTTGAAATCAACAAATTTAAAAGGATTGAAGGCTACAAACTAAATCGTTTTGGACTAACTCTACATGAGTTTTGATGTACGTACATAGTTAATTTGACATCCGTCATGGCAAAAGAGTTGCATGATGTCACATGCAAAGAGTCAATAGAGAATGACTTTCTGGAACCTGCTTTAGAACAGCAAAACTGAATGAATCTGTTCGAGACAGAGCTCTTCTGTCTCTTTTGAGGTGTCTTGGAGGGAGTTAATTGTCTATGATGGAGAACAGTTTATTCAAGGACCTTATTTTGTCTCTCACTGACTCAAATGTCTACTGGTTCAGCACTTATTTGTTCCATCCTTATTCATGTGTTTATTTCTTTTGCTGGCAGCTCTGTCATTGATGCATTTACTACAGTATTCTACATCATTAATCAAATCTATGTTCCTGCAGAAATCCTGTGTTTCATCCTCACCCTCCTTCCTCATTGAGTGAATCTTACAGAAGTCCATGCCTAGAACCCTATCAGTCCTACAAAACCAGAAACTTGCTTGATCCCAACATGGCCCACTGTAAGTGTTGGCGTATTTTCTTTGTTTTTGTAAAAGCTTCTGGTTCTGGACTAGAACCAGAAAGCCCTGTACATTCAGCGTTGCCAGTCTTGAGTTTATGATTACCTTTCCAGACGCTCATTATTCAGTTCCTGGTCCTGAGTTTCCCTTGGCCTACTGGAATGTACCACCAAGGGGAACTGTTCCTACCAAGTTTGGGAACTACAGTCCTAACAGTTGTTGGAGTTTTCCTGATCCTCTTGTGAAGTAAGTGTCCCTGCTGTCAGAATTTGAGCTTTCTAGGGTTCAGTTTAACCTTAAACTCTCTTTGTGCTGAAGAAGAGGTGTGGTAAAACTAATATATAAAACTCAAAGCTGATGATGATCTTCTGTTATCGTTCTAGCCGACCCAGCAATGACGTTGTGGATCCACTAACCGAAGTCTCTTCAGAGAGACCCAGATCCACCAGGAGCAGGACTCTGAGTTATAGAGATGCCCTGAAACAACAGGTATGCTACATTAAATGTAACCTCCAAGGCTCGAGAGTTAGAGTTATAGCCTGGTAAGTCTTCCTTTATCAGTTCCTCTAGGGATTTGCGGCAATTTTTTGTGATTGTTTTGATGCTTTTTGTTTAATTTTGTCAATAGTCAGTTGAAAAATGTTTAAAAAAATCACTTAAACATGTCAAGTTAAGGAATTCCACCATTTTTATTGTAATCAGTGCACTGGAAAACCACCTAACCATCCAGCTGCATATTCTTCAAGTTTTAGCTTATTGCCTAAACAAAAAAAATGAAAAGAACAGCTCCAGGTTCACAGGTTTTTGGAGTACAAAACAGAAATGTTTCTTATCTGAGTATTTCAAAAATAACTCAGTAAATGCAGAATAAAATTACTTCTTAATGCCATCTAAACTTACTGACACTGAGCAGTGTCATTAAACTTGAACTGCCAGTTCTTAAACGGGAGTCTTATCATGCAGTACCTCGCTCTGACTTTCTGACCACATGAATATGGCGTTTAAAGCGTGCCACAACCCGTGCACGCGCATTGGGTCCACAGCGCGCGTGTGAACGGGACTCGCGAGCGGAAATATACATGGCGAGAGGTCATTTGTGCACTGAGAGGGAGCAAACTGTGTCTGTGAGCGCACAAGGATGTGCACAAGTGACAAACCTGCGTGCGCGCGTTGTCAACGAGCACACGGCAGAGGAAAACGTGCGCGCGCGGCAGCCTCTGTGCGCGCTCGGCAGCCTCTCTGCGCGCTCGGTTTCTGACTCCTGCTCGCTCGGCTGTAAGGGTTTTGGCACTCTGGAGGCGTGGCCTGTGGCAGATCTTCTCCGTCCTCTGATTGGTTAGTGTACCCCGCACTTTACCCTCTACCTATCTATACAAAAAAGTCTGCTATTCAAGCAGTTGCTGGCATAGCTCAGTTGGGAGAGCGGGTGACTCTCGCCCCGGAGGATCCGGGTTCGAGGCCGGGCAAGGAAAATGCAGTAGATGTCATGTTAGTTTTTCTTAATTTCAGGTATTTTACAGTTGTGACCGTTCAACTGTCATTAAACGTCCGAATGTTTGCTGGGCAGTGTTTTAAAAAGTGCACATAAGCTAGATGGTTTTAACCATAGAAAATTACATTTTTTGTGATACTGGAAAAATACATACTGAAATAAAACTACTGATTGAAAACTTTATGACTGTGGTTGTACAATATATGACTCACTAATACACTGCAAACTCCCTTAGAGTGGGGCTTCCAGAGAGAGAGAGACAGAGAGAGAGACAGAGAGAGAAAAGTTCTTGCCTCATTAATGAATTGTTTATTTTTTTCAGTATTTAATTGACAAATTATCCTTTCAAATAATTAATTGATGAGTTACATAATTGTCCATTTAGAATTGTTGAATGGACTGAGTCAAGTTTGGTGCACTTTATATATTTCAAAACATGTTTTTTTTTTATTTTAATGATGCATATAAATAATTTAAATGTTAATTTAATGAAATATTTCTATTTTTTCATTACCTCACCCTTGTTTTGACAAAAACGGGACCTTGCTGGATAATATCATGGAGAAACTATTTGTTCACAGTACATGGCTCCGTAAGGATCTGTGTACCAAAGGAGGAGATACTCAGAAATCTGTCTGCAGATTGTTACAACTCAGACTGGAAGTGGCGGGCTGTAATAAGAAAGGAGACCAAACAGAGGAGTGGGGGTTCAACAACTGATTTATTTAACAAAAGTAAAGATTTACTAAAGCAAGTTAGTGAACAGAAAATGGCCAGTGAGGACTCTCCACCACACAGGAGAGACCCAGTGAAAGCAGAAAAACAGTAGGCTTTGTAGGCAGCACCACACCCTGAGCCCAGGTGCCTCCAAGGCTGCTTAACCAGCTGCCTACAACAGAAGAAAAACACAATTAAACACAAATGAAAACCCAATGAGACGGTGGGGGCATCACAACACGTTCAGGACTACCCAAACACCAGTAATTCTTGACTGCACTGATCTGAGGTGTCAATGGCCATATTCCCCTCTCTTCCAGAGTCATATATTTTCCTCAAGTTCAACTGCACTCTGAAGAGGCTCATTTGGATTGTGCCACATAGGCCAGTGACCTTTGTCTCAGCACTGTATGCTGGAACTATCAGCGACCAACCTGGGAATCTGGTGTGATGAAAATGCTACAACTAGAGATGGTCATCTTGGTAGACAGGGGTTTCTTCATTGATGACATTGTGCCCTGCAAAGTGTACAGGCCAGCTTTCCTTTCTGGCAAACCTCAAATGTCTGCATGTAAAGTTATAGAAACAGAAGCCATAACATCTCTGAGTGCATGTGGAGCGCTCCATTCATCTGGTCCAAGAACACAAGCATTTTGATTGTTATTCCCCTCCTTGCATTTGTAAACAATCGGCTATATGCTGTGGTTTTTCTCCTTACCAACTTTTAAAATAGCCCACTAGTGAAGGCCTGGGCAAAGAAGCCTGATGTCTGAGAACCTCAACATATGTACGGCAACCACACTGTATATTTACACACTTTCATAAAGAAACTGCATATCAAGCTTTCATTCAGATGACCTTCAACAGTGCTGCACCCTGCTGAGGGACATCCGAGTAAAACCTTGAGATGGCCATTTTCTGTTCACTAACTTGCTTTAGTAAATCCTTACTTTTGTTAAATAAATCAGTTGTTGAACCCCCACTGCTCTGTTTGGTCTCCTTTCTTATTACAGCCCACCACTTCCAGTCTGGGTTGTAACAATCTGCAGACAGATTTCTGAGTATCTCCTCCTTTGGTACACAGATCCTTACGGAGCCATGTACTGTGAACAAATAGTTTCTCCATGATATTATCCAGCAAGGTCCCGTTTTTGTCAAAACAAGGGTGAGGTAATGAAAAAATAGAAATATTTCATTAAATTAACATTTAAATTATTTATATGCATCATTAAAATAAAAAAAAAACATGTTTTGAAATATATAAAGTGCACCAAACTTGACTCAGTCCATTCAACAATTCTAAATGGACAATTATGTAACTCATCAATTAATTATTTGAAAGGATAATTTGTCAATTAAATACTGAAAAAAATAAACAATTCATTAATGAGGCAAGAACTTTTCTCTCTCTGTCTCTCTCTCTGTCTCTCTCTCTCTGGAAGCCCCACTCTAAGGGAGTTTGCAGTGTATTAGTGAGTCATATATTGTACAACCACAGTCATAAAGTTTTCAATCAGTAGTTTTATTTCAGTATGTATTTTTCCAGTATCACAAAAAATGTAATTTTCTATGGTTAAAACCATCTAGCTTATGTGCACTTTTTAAAACACTGCCCAGCAAACATTCGGACGTTTAATGACAGTTGAACGGTCACAACTGTAAAATACCTGAAATTAAGAAAAACTAACATGACATCTACTGCATTTTCCTTGCCCGGCCTCGAACCCGGATCCTCCGAGGCGAGAGTCACCCGCTCTCCCAACTGAGCTATGCCAGCAACTGCTTGAATAGCAGACTTTTTTGTATAGATAGGTAGAGGGTAAAGTGCGGGGTACACTAACCAATCAGAGGACGGAGAAGATCTGCCACAGGCCACGCCTCCAGAGTGCCAAAACCCTTACAGCCGAGCGAGCAGGAGTCAGAAACCGAGCGCGCAGAGAGGCTGCCGAGCGCGCACAGAGGCTGCCGCGCGCGCACGTTTTCCTCTGCCGTGTGCTCGTTGACAACGCGCGCACGCAGGTTTGTCACTTGTGCACATCCTTGTGCGCTCACAGACACAGTTTGCTCCCTCTCAGTGCACAAATGACCTCTCGCCATGTATATTTCCGCTCGCGAGTCCCGTTCACACGCGCGCTGCCATGTATATTTTCGCTCGCGAGTCCCGTTCACACGCGCGCTGTGGACCCAATGCGCGTGCACGGGTTTTGACACGGGTATGACGCGATACATGAACATCCGTCTGATCGTTGCATACAAACAAAGGCTGAAACTCTCCAAGCCTGTTGTGAAGTCAACAAAACAGTGGACTAACGAGGCTGTACAGTAGATGAGCTTCGCACATGCTTAGAGATCACAGACTGGGAGGTAATGAAGGCTGCCTCTGACAGTTTAGATGAGTTCACAGATATCGTCACCTCTTACATCCACCTCTGCCAGGACAACATCATACCATCACGCACCAGGGGAAGTTAAAACAATGACGCCTGATTTACTCCAAAATTAAAACATCTGTTGTTAGAAAAGAAATTATCTTTTAAAAGTGGGTACAAGGACTCCCTACAGAGATGCTAAGTACAGGTTCAGCAAGGAAGTGGCAAGTGGGTGGTGTTGTGGTTATTAGTCAACGAATAATTTGTAAGCTTTACTTACTTTTTGGATTCATCAATAAATTTGTAAATATGGAAATATTTACCGATTTATTACGTAATTAGGAAATCCTTGTGTATCCTCGGGGCACCACCCCTTTTTAACAGGGGAAAATGAATCCACAACCTCTAATCAATCTGTGTAAAGTCCGTAAAATCCTTAAAGAGCTGCAGTTGTATTTTATATCAACACAAACAAACTCACTTGAGACAAATGCTTAATTGGCAATAACATTTATTAACTAATATACCCACTTCAGCTTCTCCCAAAGTGTTTAGCCAATCAACATCAACCAACTTATTTAATCAAACAAATAACAAGTAATTATGAAATAATAATGTGATGTGACAATCTGATAGGTGGGGTATCAAAATGGAGGTAGTTGAAAACCCAAAATGGCTGATTCCTTTGTCTGGCTGGAAAGGATCAAACCACTTGTGGAATGCGTGCGTGCGTGCGTGTGTGTGTGTGTGTGTGTGTGTGTGTGTGTGTGTGTGTGTCCGGAGCCGTAGCAGAAGTCTCTTCAACACCAGCTAAAACTGGGACAAAAGACAAAGTTTGCCGCTCTACACCTCGCTTTTCTCTCCAGCGGGCGGGCGGAACCTGTGTAACTTCCGGGGTTCGGCGTCACTTC